CGGGCGCAAAACTGACACACACTAAAAATTGCCAGACTTTATCCAGAAATTAGAAAACGGTAGAATTTTGGATTCACAGACTCTAAAAATAGTCTGCGTTAGAAATATCAAAATCAGAATCGGGACATTCCCAATTGAAGTAAATAAAGTATAAATTTCCCAACATATAAATAAAAATAATGTAAATCTTGTTCACATATAATTTTTCGACTTAGAGAAATAAGTTAACTTAGAGGGCCTACAAAATATTTGTAGATGTCACCATCTATGTTTACTTATTTTTTTGAGGTAAAATAGTATAATTGAAACGTGTTTTCTATTTTACCAGTTTTAAAATAAATTGAAAATAACCGAGTTATTAAAACTTTGAAAATTTATACAGGGTGTCTCAGAAATAAATGCAAGTAGTTTAACTTGAAGTATAGTCCAGCCCCAGAAACACGCCTATGACGTTTTTTTCGCGAAAAAAAAAATTAGAATTCGAAATTTTTTGAAAAATTTTTTGGATTTTTTTTTAGTTTTTAGTTAAAAAAACATAAGTTCTTGATAATATGGCAACATAGGTATTAGAATAAATTTACAAGAAAGAAAATCCAGAAAAGATCCAGTGGTTCTCAAAATTTTAGCAAAAAAAAATATATTTTTTTGGAAATTTTCAAAGTAAAATAACTCCGTTATTTTGGACTTATTTGAAAAACGATAAAGAGAAAATATGTTTCTTTTATCGAGATCTACCACCCCTTAAAATACTTGCGCTTATTTCTGGGACACCCTGTATAAAAGAATGCTTACATTTTGAGCACCGCCGATATTAAGTGGCAATCAGCACCAAGCTCTCGGTTTATTCGGCGCCGTGTTGCCACATGGACAAGAAAGTATACACTTAACACTTGATTAAAAATATTTCATAATATGGCGATAAGAGAGTCTTCAATAATTTTGAAGGTTTAGTTGAAAATATCACGTTAAAATATATGAATGTGTTTTAAAAAAAGTACAATGCATTTTTTTGGATTCATTAATAATGCCAACATTCATTTTTTTGCAGTTTATTGTGCAGAATATTAAAATTACTGCTAACTATGTATGTTTATATACAAATATCTAGAATGTGGATAATGTAGGAGGTGGCAACATTGCGGGGCTTTGATAACAAAATCTAGAAATTTCAGGAGAATGAACCTGCCGGCAATAATTTTTTTTTAATTTCCCAGGAAGTTTAAGGAAAAATATAAAATTTTCAACAATTTTTTTTGGCAAATAAAATTTCATGGACGTGTTTCTGGGGTCGAAATATACTTGCAGTTAAAATACTTGCACTCATTTAAGAGACACCCTATAGTTGAAGCAACAATATGGAATGCATTCTACCTGGCTTTCAAATTTATATGTTTATTTCGGCCTGGCTTCAAAACCAGTTATATACTGAATCTTTTTAAAAATAGAACAAAAAAAATCCGTGGAAATAAATCTGATATGTTAAATTAACATAATAATAAACATATTCCTTCTGGTGAGTCATTTTTCAAACGTTTTTACAACAAATTAATAGAGATAGTGATTGTAATGAATGTTGTGGCATAATAATTGGAGTTATAGTTAAACTAGAACCAATAAATTATATTTCCATTGTATAAAAGTGTAAATAGTTTTTATGTAAGGCTAAATATAAGTATGAGAGATCGTGAAATGGTTTAGTGCACCTATTTAGCACATTGAAACGAATTTTATACAGGGTAATAAAAAAGCGCAGTCCACACGCAGCGACTAAATCGTACAAGTAGTTTTTAAGACATATCGGTGTTTAGAAGTAAAGAACATTTTTAAAACTAGTAATTTTGATTGTCTTTTATACAAAAAATGATAGTTAGGATTCATAGATTTTTTTGTCTAAGAGATATTCTTGATTGTTATCTTTGAAATGATCACCCTGTATGTTGTTTCCTGTGTTATTTCTAAAGACTGGCTCATTAAGAATGTTATGGTAATTAAATTAAACGCCGAAATATGAGAAACAGAACTATTTTTATCTGTGCACCGGATAGATACGATTGTTTTATTGAAAAACATATTTGTGTTGTTCACGAAAAGTTTTTTTTCTACAAATTATCACTAAGTAGAATAATTATAAACAATCAGAGATTCGAATCCACAGAAAAGCTAAGTTTTTTTTTATTTAAATAATTTTAATGACTTAAGTTATTTGATATTAAGTCGTTTTTTGAAAGCTGACTTAACAGTCCATTTCATTAGTCCGAAAAATTAGCAAAATAAGCGTTCGGCATTTAACGTTTTTTGTAAAACTGGCTAGGTATTTTTACACAAATGAAGAAGAAAATTAAAGATAAAGGATTATACTATATTCGTATTGTAGCACATTTTTAGACAACTTTTTTATTTTTAAGATTTTGATGGTCAAACAGCAACAGAATATTCCTTATGTTTGGACTAAATTTTCTCGAAAATAAAGACGTAATTTAAAATTCCGTTACAATACGGAAATAGATTGAAGTTTTGTAATTACAGTGATATACAATTTATATGGTTTTGTAACAAATTGCTCTCTTATTTTATAGCAAATGCTGAAGCTCTGCAAACCTTAATTAAGCTTTGACTGGTTAATTTTTGAGGTATAACTTCTTTAAAGACTGGAAAATAAATGTTACAGGTATGAATGGTATATGTTTTAAGGCCTCATTATCAAGACTTTTTTGCAAATTAAATTTGTTTAATGACTTACCATGGTGTGTCACTGATTCAAAACAGCAAACCACTTATAATATCAATATGACAATGTTTACGATTGTGCTAAAACGGCGTTGGTACTACGTAATGTGTTGCTACCTATTCGCCGTTGGTACTAAACCATTAATGGGAAGCTTTTTCAAGAGCGTGCCGTGAGTATAGCAAATATACCGGGTGGACAAACAATTAAAACCACCACAGTCTTGTAATCAATTGTTTATTGTTATAGTTTAAACAAAAAGTTATTTTTATTCAATGATACTTTTCTTGAATATTTTTGATGATATATGGAGTTGCTGAATGTGTTGCGTGTTTCTTCCAAATTTCCCTGTATTTTTTAGAAAAAAAAAACTTTTTAGAGCTGCAGGTTCGCCCGAGAAATTCTTTTGCAACTCGTTTTCTAGAAAACTTTTTAGATCCGCTGGTTCATTTTCTCGGAATATTTTCTTGGTCGTCCACTAAGAGCATGCAACGTTGTACCGTTCGATCTAAAAAAAACGGCGTCCAGTTGACTTAGAAATGAACATCAATGACATTCCCCATACAATTTTACATATAAAATGACAGCGATCTTCATTTTATAGCCATCGCTGACGCCGTTTTTTTTGCGATCATATGGTAATTGTCAATTTTTCCATTTGCAAATGTAAAAAAAATAAAAAATATATTTTCTTATTTTTGCTATATACCACATCTAAAAACATTATTTGTAGTTGTTTCCCTTTATAACTGTAGGTAATTTGTAGCTAATAACTCTTTTGTTAATATACAGGGTATTTGTTAAATAACTACAAATATTTTAACTGGTATACTGTCCCACGAGACGCATCCAAAAAATGACAGAATATTCAATTTATCTTCGAATTAAAATGATAGACTACAACTGTTATTGTCATGTATCCTCTGGTTGCACAGAGAAATTATATAGAAATACGTCTATGCGAGATGTTAAAAAATAGAAAATATTTTTTCTTTTCACTTCTTAAAATATGTGCTCTTATACCGGGTGCGTCTCAAAAGTGGCTCACCCCCTATAACTTTTTTATTTCTTCAGATAAAAAAAACGAGATTTGGTATGTTAGTATATATGACATAAATTAGGATTGATTGACGTATTCAATTGTTTTTGGTCACTTCCTGTTTCACCGGAAATGACTACAACTTTTATTCGATACAAAAAGACATTCTGAATATAATGACATATCATATGTCAACTTTTGACATTTTCGCTTAAAACGAAATTGAATTTTAAATTTCAATCTAGAGTGCCATGGCTATATGTTAAAAACACTAATTCTTAATCAAGGAGCCTTGGAAAAATAGATTTGATCGTCTAATGTTTTTAGTGCGCTGTCCCGGCCAGTTAGAAAATGCGTAAATCGTATTTTTAATCATATCTCAATTTTTTCAAATGGAACGAGGGTGACTCATTAGCATATTTAGGAAAAGCATTTTTTTACGAATAATTTGATACCACACACTTGGTATTTCGAGTCAAATTTTCGTTACGAACCGCAAATTATAATTTCAAATACACCATATGCAAAATGTCAAAAGTTGACATATGATATGTCATTCTATTCAGAGTGTTATTTTCTTTCGAATAAAGTAAAAAAATACCGAGGGTGCCATTTAAAAATCAAAAGTTCTAGTAATTTCCGGTGAAACAGGAAGTGACCGAAAACAATTGAATACGTCAATCAATCCTAATTTATGTCATATACTAACATACCAAATCTCGTTTTTTTAACTGAAAAAATAAAAAAGTTATAGGGGTGAGCCACTTTTGAGACGCACCCGGTATAGGAGACGCCCTATATTACTACCCCTTAAATCACGCGCATGGATTTAATAAGTGATACCCTTTATTTGCAATTTCAGTTTGGTGAAATTGCAACCAAAATAAATGCACCAGCAACCTTGCCACACCCTATATAAACAACAATGAATCTATAGAATTAGTGCGACATTATTAATTGGCCATACAGTGTCTGAAAATGAAAGCCCGAAGCAGGTCACCGTTATAAATAGTTTTTCCTTAAATGTAGCGATGTTTTGCATAAAAAATGCATTGCATAGCATATCAATTAAATATTATTCCCATTATGCACTTAACTTGATTATAGAAGGTATTAACTTTGGTATTAATAATGGGGAATTCCTCTAGCACTACTATACCTGGGGTTTCAAAAGTGGCATTTTTTAAATACTAAAATTGTTTTAATACTTATAGTATTATTTCTATTTTGTTTTAGACCCAGGATTACTGTATCGGGCGAAAAAAATGCCAGACTAATATGCATTACCGATGACAATTCAGTAGTGGAAGATGACGCAGATGACAATCAAGACACCTCTGAAAAAGTATGTCAAACTGACAATATTCCACCTGCTAAAATCATTATCAGAACTTGTTCGGAAACCCAAACGGATCTAAACAATTCAAATCAAAAGGTTTGTTTAAAAGTACCTTTCTTATTATCTATGTATGTGTTCAAAAAATATCTTTTGAAAAAAGGATTATATTATACAAGTCTGTGGTCAAATCAAACTTATTTTTCTATTAGGTTGCCAAAGGAACACAGAAAAGCAAGAACGCAACATTTGTTAAGATAAGTCGACTGAAGAAATCCAACAGAAAATTGGAGTGCCTAGACAAAAAGAAGGCAGTCCAGGCCATACAGTACAAGTTAGACTTTTACAGGCACTGCAAGAACAACCCTTTGTACAAGAGATCCACCACGTGTCAACCCTGGCTTCTAATGAACAAGTAAGTAAAGTCTTTTCAGCGGGGAAGCGACTATTTTGACAGAAGAACTGTCACTGTCATTTATCCTCTAATATAGTTTGAGCTGTAAACTAAAGGAATCGTCATGTATCTGTTAATTTCATAGATTGACCGACAATATTGATTGTTTTAGGATTTCAGAGGAGATTTTGAACGACTGTCTTTTGGCAGTGGCCAGAGAGATTGAGGTTAACGATATAGTGGAAAAAGTATACCAGTCTGAACTTCAGATGTAATAGAATATTTTATAAAAGTTTTATTTAAATAAACTATTTTTGTATTTTTACGCCATAAATTTGCATTTGTATGTTTATCTTTAGTTGGTCTCATTTTATTCTGGGAAAAGCATGTTATAGATAATTATTAAAAAGTTAATATTTTACTAAGTATGAATTGTTTGTAATGGGAGTCATTATAACTGTTTAATTATTAGTGATAAGTTAATGTCATAAAATACACATTTTTTAGTCATTCAGCTATAAAAAAACATATTATTTAGCAATAGTAAATCTGGGAGAAATTAATACTTTCAGTTTTAATATACAGGGTGTTCCTTAATGGTATGCTAATATTTAAGGGGGTGATTCTTGAACTTATTCTAAGAGAAAAACTTCATATGAATGTATGTCCTAAACATCTTAATTTCTAAGACAGGGTGGTCAAATTTTCTATTTTTTTTTCATAATAACTCTTCATTTTTTATAGAAATCTTTTAGTCTAAGAGCTAACAACGTTTTCGAGGAAGTATTTTAACACGTCTGGCTCTTTGATATATCTTTTACTATGCTCTCTGGAACAGCATGCGGCCGGTCTGGCTGCTAATACCCGTTGCGTTCACTACTGCGCATCGGAAGAAGATCCTATATTTTTTATTAGTTTAGTCCTATAAATTCTAGTATTAAATATAAATCGAACATGTCTCCATAGCGTAGTGCGTAGAGTTTCCGACCACGAACCGATGATTCAGAGTTCGAATCCGGGTCAGGTCAAAGACTTTTTTATTTTATTTTCGTTTATATTCTGGTAATTAAAAAAAAACAAATATTTAATACTTTACTATCAGAATATAAACGAAAATAAAATAAAGAAGTCTTTGCCCTGACCCGGATTCGAACTCTGAATCGTCGATTCGTGGTCGGAAACTCAACGCACTGCGCTATGGAGACGTTCGATTTATACGAGGCATGTTTTTTAAGTAAGTACCGTTTTGCGATTCCGCCGCCGCAGCGCTACGGTCGGCGTTCCGCGCATGCGCGCTGGTTACCTACATCTCTTGTCTGTGCACAGACGCCAGTACAGTCTGATTCTTCATTGTATACGTTGTTTATTGAGTGTTTAAGATGCCTCCGACAATCGTGAGCCCCGCCGATTGTGAAGTACGGGCTGTCATACGATTTCTTAGTGCTAAAGGCGTAAAACCGATCGACATTCATCGTGAGATCTGGGAAGTTTACGGACAAAACATTATGAGTGATGGAATGGTAAGGAAATGGGTGAGAGAGCATTTAAAGATGGCCGCACAAATGTGCATGATGAAGAACAGGTGGGCGTCCTTCGGTCGTTAATGAAGATTTGGTGCAGAAAGTGGACGAAAAGGTGAAAGAAAACAGACGCTTTACAATTTCATCATTGTGCGACTATTTTCCTCAATGTTTTTGTATCGCATTGTGACCGAGAACTTGAATTACCGGAAATTGTGTTCACGTTGGGTTCCGAAAATGTTGACGGATTTGCACAAAACTCAACGCTTTAGGCAGTGCATTGACTTTCCTTGAGCAGTACCACAATGAAGGTGAAGATTTTTTAGACAAAATTGTTACTGGTGACGAAACATGGGTGGCCTACGTCACACCAGAATCGAAACAACAGTCCATGGAATGGCGACATTCATCATCACCCAAAACAGTGAAGTTTAAGCAAACAATTTCTGCCCGGAAAATCATGTGCACAGTTTTTTGGGACAGAAAAGGAGTATTGCTAGTGGAGTTTCTGCCTCGTAATGAGACAATCAATGCAGCATCTTATTGTGAGACATTGAACAATCTGCGCCGTGCAATCCAAAACAAAAAGACGTGGCAAGTTGAGTAAAGGGTATTGTTTTGCTGCATGACAATGCCCGTCCACATGTGGCTAATCGGACCAAAGATCTCATCAAATCTTTTAAATGGGAAACTCTAGATCATCCTCCATACAGCCCTGATCTGGCGCCCAGTGACTACCATTTATTCCTGCACTTGAAGAAACACCTGGGCGGTCAGCGTCTTGAAGACGATAACGAAGTCAAAACAGTTGTGATACAGTGGTTAACCAGTCAGGCGGCAGAATTTTATGAGGAGGGTATTGAAAAACTGGTGCCACGTAATGACAAGTGCCTCAATATTCACGGAAATTATGTAGAAAAGTAGATTAAGGTACAAGCTTTCATGTAAAAATAAAATTATTGCGATATCTTTGCACGTTTTTTTTTTAATTCCAAAACGGTACTTACTTAAAAAACATGCCAATACTAGAATTTAAAGGACTAATAAAAATATAGAATCTTCTTTCGATGCTTTCATTGCTAGCTCTCGTACTATTTATGAAACTTGATACACGTTTTCTATGCATCAAAATACCATTTTTAGTGTATAAAGAATTTTGGTAATTATTGGGAAAACTGGAAATCGTACGATTTTCACCAAAATTGGTATACACACTATTTTGAGGTCGTAGATTACGAATCTGAACTTTTTTTATCGGTCTCTTACCGTTTTTCAGAAAATCGGAAAATTATTTCAACACTGAATTTTTCTTTATTTCGGGCCTATATAAAGTAATAATTTCACTATATTTTCATTATATTATAGTTTATCTAAAAGCCGCACTTGATTGGGGATAGAAAAATGTCCAAAATTTTACTGAAAAACACTTTTCTTAACAAAATAACATAGAAAATTGAGACCAGTGGAAGTTTGACATTTGATATATCCATCTTTCTCCTATGTAATGAGAGAGACAAATATATTCTAAACCTAATCTAGAAATTTGAAAATTTACAACGTTGCCATATCTTCTATTTTTTCGGGTGATTAGGGATTTTAAATAAATTACCTATTATGAGATCGACAATAATTATGCGGAGTTACGCGGAAGAGTTTTGATTGAATTGGTTTCAACTTCTATGCGAAAGGGGTTAATCTTTTTTTTTGTTATATTTATAACCACGAAGTTGCACGAAAGAGTTTTGATTGCATTGGTTACAACTTACAACTTCCATGTGGAGGGTGTTAATCTTTTGTTGTTATATTATATCAAAAAACGATTAACCCCCTTCGGAAAGAAGTTATATAAAGACTATTTATAACCACGAAGTTGCACGAAAGAGTTTTGATTGCATTGGTTTTAATCTTTTTTTGATATAACATCCTCCGCATGGAAATTGTAACCAATGCAATCAAAACTCTTTCGTGCAACTTTGTGGTTATAGTCAGATCTTGTTGGTAAAAGAGCAATTATGGGAAGGAGCTGTTCTTCTGGCGACCGCCTTTCGTAATCCCAGAATGAGCAAAAAAAACACGCTAAATTTAGGTTTAGCATTGGCAACGTTGCTTTAAATGCCAGAAACGAATAACCCAACATTTTTAGATTGTTTACCAATTTATTTCAGCAAATTTTCCTTTATTATGCATAGAATTGGTTAAAAAAGTAATCGAAAATAGCAATAACATCATTGTTTATTGAATACCTAACAAAATATGTGCTAGAAAACCTTAAAAATATGAGAAATTAAGAAAAGTTTGATGTTGAAATAATTTTCCGTTTTTCTGAAAAAAACGGTAAGAGACCGCCAAGAAAAAAGTTCAGATTCGTAATCTACCTCAAAATAGGGTGTATACCAATTTTGGTGAAAATCTGACGATTTCCAGTTTTCCCAATAATTACCAGAATTTTATTTGACACCATCTTTATAAAAGTATACTTATAATTCAATACCAGTCTATACTAAAGTCTCTCCAGAGAGAGAATGTATAATTTCTACAGGTGACACAAAAATTAACAGAAGAAAACAATCCCCTTGCGAATTAAATTGACTGATACTACTGTAATATTAGTAAAGAAATAAAACAAAGTATATCACCATAAGTTACATGTATTCAAGTACAATAATTAATTCATGCATCAATAAAGTTTTATCATATATAAGTTTATATAATACTTCAAATCTAAAGAAAAATCATATTACTATCTCAAAAACAGATAGTCACATAAAAAATAAAGTCTACATTGCAATTAATTTTAACCTAAGATACTTCAAATGTCGTGTACTTAAATATATTAATAATAGTCAGTTTAGTAAAAACAGACTGAAATTTGAGATAAATGCCATCTTTACAGCGGTGACCAGACGTCAGCTGGATATAAAATGTTCAGAACGTGGTGACAAGCGGCGTAGGCAGCCATCTTTTTAGCAACCTTCTTGCTGGAACCTAGCAAATAAAATGAATTGTAAGACACACAAAAAGTAACGGTCTGCTCTTATTTTTCTTATTTCTCTGGGAGACAAGTGTCTGGTTTGACAGTACAGTTTTAGTTTGATAAATAACTAACACCTAACCTTTAAACCGGAGGTTTAATATACCACAAGTCGTAAAGCTTAAGTCTACAGTTGGAGATCATAAGCACTGCTGCATGTGGTACTTTTAAATTTCATTGGACACACTATATACTAAGGGCTGGCAAAGATCAAGGATACTGTATAGAGATAAGGATAGTTCGATTCCTATCTTCCTGCACTGTCAGTTTTTTTACGTCATCTACTGACCGAGTTGAAGTTGGCGCTAAAGATTTTAGACAGTGACAGTTATTTTTGCATTTGACTTGACGAGCGCACAGTGCGTTGAAGATAAATTTAGCGGGACAAAAGCGTTTGGTTAAAGAAATAAGCCAAAATGTGTACTAATAAGTATAAATAGTAGACATTCCAATTGGATACAAAAATGCATGAATATTCTTTGTATTTCGATACACATTTTTATCAACCAAAATTGGTCGTTTTCTGCTCAGCAAGGCAGATATACTGAAACAAAAATATTTACAATTGAAAAGTGCTTATACATTTTATTAGAAAGCCAAATTATGTTGAAGATTGCCAAAGGTATGTACTTTTCTACTGTACGTTATTATTTGTTAAAATCCTTCGTGCCTTTGTTCTGCAGATACCAAACTTTCAAATATCGATATATTTGAATGATGTAGATCTTTTGGGTTACCAATAGTTACCAACACAGGTAGTCACAGTCACAGGGAGTTCAAGCTTAACAGGTGAATGCCCAAAAAGATTCATTTCAATCGGATAGTATAAAAACAAAACAACTCCATCAAAAAGGCACTGAGTTTAAAAATTGTCTTAGATACTTCTACTAGCATATGAATTTACAATTACCGAATGTTAAAATTAAAATTAAAATATCTATCTTATTTATTATTTTCAAAATAAAATATATTTTTAAAATAAATTACAGAGGGTGTCACAAGATTACAAATTAATAAAAAAAAAACCTGTTATAGAGTTTTGATATCATAATTTTATGTATTTGGCAATAGTTTACAAATACGGTTCATCACTAAAACAACTTTTTTCATTGTGCCACAGTCCAGTTTGATATTCCTTGGCAAATGCTAATGGGCCTTCAAATTTTTTTGATAGTGGTTTCTGGGCGGGTCTTCGGAAAACAACTTCTGGTCAACTAATTTACGTCGAGATTTTGTGTGTCATGTACGAATAATATCATAGTTTTTAGTTATCTTTGTATTTATTTATTAATAAATTAAGTTGTTAATAAACAAATAAATTTAACCATATAGTTGCTCTATATTAGACTTATTTGCTACGTTCTTAGATTTTAAGTCCCAAACATTGACAGTACAGTTTTGTCCCGATAAATAACTAACATCCTAACCGTACTGTGTGGAGTTTAATATAGCGCGTGATCGTAGCATTCCACGGCTACTGGAGACATAAGCACTGCTGCATGGGATTTAAATTCCATTGGAACTATATACAGAGCTGGGCAAAGATTAGTCTTGGGTCGAGATTTCCGTATGTAAGAAGAGAGTACAATGCGTTTATAATGTACTGAACAAAGAGAGGACAGTAAACACGTTGCCAAACGTATGAAATAAACCGAGAAACTGTGCACATCGCTAAGAACGACGGAAGATATAGCAGATTTGTCGCAGTTGACCAGTCGACCCAATCAATACCTCTGTCAGTACTTAAAGTTCTAGGGAAAGGTGTACGTCATGCGTTCAGCTTCACGATTTAATTACGTCTCGTGATAATTTAATTTGTTTATTTATTAACCAGTCGTTGTAATTTTCCTATAGCTTGAATTTTTTTAAGTGCAAGCTAGAAACACTTGCATTTTGGTAAAAATAAGTGGAATTGAGTGGGTGTTCGATAGTGGTCGCGTGCTATTAGAACTCTGAATTCAAAAATCGATATCTCGAAATCTATTAGAAATAATAGATTGTAGTTTTTCATGAACTTTATTAATATTTCTGCTGTATTTTCTTTGTAGACAGTATGCGAAAATCTTTAGCAATAAAAAAAATTACGATTGCTGAAAATTGCTATGCTCTAAAAGTAAATGGATTAGTTTACAATTTTGAATGGAAAAAACAACCTTATCGAGATTTTCTTATGTAAACATATTGTAAAATATCCGATCTTGAAAATAAAAAAGTTTCAATATCTAAAGTGGTTCTTATGGCCTGTTATGTGTTAAAAGTTGAGTTTTTAACAGATTAAATTAAAAAAAAATTATCGCGATTACTGACGTTTTCTCGTTATAAAAAAAATCATTACCTTGTCATATTACCCTTATAATAGAATTTAGAAGATGAGTGGGAACATGTCTAATCATTTCGACCTTACAGATCCATTGTGTCCCCCCTTTCTTTTAAAAATAAGCGGTTCATACAGATCCAGGATTTTGACTTTAGCCAGTATCTGGGAAGGTTTTTATCGAGGGTAGTTCTCCATCTCCAAATCGTCACAGTTCAAAATTATTTGACACGAATAGTTGATCTCGGCGAATCAGTGATGAGACCTTATAAATTATTGCTTTATTTTCAATTAAAGAGGAAATAATATGAACAAAATAAAGGATAATTCGTCGATTCTAAAAAAGAAAGAAAAATCACTGTTCCAGCGTTTCCAGTCAATGCCACTAATCCCAGTAGTAATATCGCAACTAATACTACTAATGCTACGACTGATCCGCGACCAATGCCCATACCACTAAAGTCGCTACTACTTGCCAAATTGTACTATACTGCTAATGGCACTAATGCGATCGCTTTGTACACAATAATTCCATCGCGGTTTACACCTCGCATTAGTATATCACTGATTGAAAAATTAGAGGAAACCAAGAATGTTTTTCTCATTTTATCAGCAAAATTGCAAAAAGTCGCAGTATTTTATTTTACTGTATGAAAGCCCAATGTTTACTAAGTAAAACGTATATAATCTAAAAAGTAATAAAAAAAACCTCTAAATCTCTAAGTATAATAAAAATGTCACAAATTTAGTAAAGTGTTTCCACAACTAGCTAGACTATTTGCTTTTCAAAAAAAATCCCTTGTATAGAGAATACCCAAAAATAAGGACTTGTTTTCTTTGCCTAATTTATTCAGCTTCTGAGCCATTCTTTGACCAATTTCAATTAATATACTGAGTTGATCGCCTTTAACAACAATTGACTATTTTAAACATATAAAATTTAGCCATTTACCTCTTATCTAAGATAAGTTGTAACCAACTCTCGATTCGTTGAAACAAATGAATGATAAACATACCCATAGCAATTCCATTTCAGATGGCAGAAACATGTCTATTGATTTTATCTAGTATCTTTTTTGAAAATCTTAAACATATTTGCTTTGCGATCGTGATTTTACCTTTTTCATGCTAGGGAAAGGCTGCGTCGCGTCGGTCCGTCGCATTTCTCTCACTCCGACTTAATAAGATAGATGCGATTTACTTCCACACATGTAAATGCCGACCCAAAAGTAACAGTTGCCAGCACGGTATTATACAATTTTCATTACTTACCAGTGCCAGTAAATGACTTGCCGTCGACTGTGACTTTGAAAGAGAACACGGCGGGCGTGGTTCCCACTTTGGGAAGCTCCTCCCACTCGGCATGCGGCAACATCTGGTTCATCATCATGAGCGGATTGACGGTTTCCGGATTGTCAGGCATCTTTCTTGATGGCCTTGCGTCCATCTTGAGGGGGGCACCTACTGATAGAGCTCCATCTTGCCCTGGCGTTTGAGACTCTTGAGCTTGCTACAACAGGTAATTCAAATATAGAAACAAGCAAATATTTTTTATGAAGAATGCATTTTTCGCAAAATGTCAATAAAAAAATGTTCCCTCTCTAACTCCCTTCATAGAGATCTACATATACCACTCCTGGAAATATAAAAAAAACACACTGTATGCTTGATAAAAATTAAGTATTACCTTAATTGCTGTTGTTGGATCTTCGCCCCAAGACGTGAACAGCTTGTACATGGCGAATGAAGCGATGTGGCTCCATGGCAACACTTGATTATTGTCAGTTTCTTCAATCTCCATTTTCTCATCAGCGCCCTCTCCATCATCCTCCTCTTGCTTCAACTTGAACTGCTTGGTTTTGATCAAGTATTTCAGGGCTACTTCGGCAGCCGCGTTCTTTGCTCCCACTTTGGTACGACCTAGGAACAGAACATCAAAATAACAGGAAAAACTTTGCATAAAATACTAATAATAATACATAAAATGCATTCTTCCAAATTTCCATACCGTTTTAGAGAAAATTAAAAAAAGACATGAAAAATTAAGTTGATTTTTTTAGAAGTCCTAAAATTCAAAACGCATTTCTATGATAATTTAATTTCGTTTTCGTTCTTTGTTAGATTGTTATTGATAGAGTTTTAATTAATGTAATATTTTTTGCTGTTTTAAAACGTTAAAGAAGCACAAAATTTATTTAGTTCAAAGTTAGAGAAAGGGTGATGATATATAGTCTGTGAAACAAATAACTTTGAATTTGACAGTTCCCGCGGGCTTTTCTAGTGTTAATTTTATTAGGTTAGCAACTTGCGGCCATGCTGACGCAATGCCGTCTCTAATAGAACAGCCTCGGAGCGAGATTTATGACGTCACGCTAGTTACATACTACAGATTAATATATTGTAGAATACATGGAAAACATAATTATTCCTCGTATTTTTGGTTTGTATTTTAAAAATGATATAGTTTACATGAAATATACATAATATACAGTTAATATAAATAAGTTAATATAAAAAAATATATATACAGTTAATAAATAAAAACGCTGATAAGTTTTCATTTGGTTTTTCATTATTTTTTTTTGCTTAAAAAAAACGTTTCGGCTAACATTTTAGCCTTAATCAGTGCTGTGTCATATGATTTTTTTATCATTTTAAACCAACAAAAATAATGAAAACCCAAATGAAAACTACAGCGTTTTTCCCGAACCTAAATCCCAAGAAAATCAAATATTTTAGAATAATTTTACATATAAAATGACAGCGATCTTTATTTCATAGCCATCGCTGACGCCTTTTTTTCTATGATATTGTATTATTTGCAAATATAATTTTTTGAATATTAATACTTGCAAAATATACATATAAATTTTGTGAATGCAAATAATAATAATTAGTAGATATTGAATGTTTTTTTGTTAAATTAAATCAATTTTCAAACCAAAATTTAAAATATATTTTACATTTTACCCAATATCTTATGTACCTATTCATTATTTGTATATTGTAAAACATTTGCTGCATTTGTATGGTTCATAGTTTATTTGCCAAAGTATTTATTACTATAAATAGTTATATATTATATTGTATTTATTAACTGTATATTATGTATATTTCATGTAAACTATATCATTTTTAAAATACAAACCAAAAATACGAGGAATAGTTATGTTTTCCATGTATTCTACAACATAATTAATCCGTAGTATCTAACTAGCGTGACGTCATAAATCTCGCTCCGTGGCTGTTCTATTAGAGACGGCATTGGTCTGATATTTAGAAATGTCAAAAGCTGATGACATTTGACTTTTGACAAATATGCCATTTCGTGTTGATTTTTGCAAGAAGACGCAGAATTGTGACTTGTTTTATAATTTTCATTTTCTATTTCACGAAAGTAAAAAGAGTTACCTATCTGATTCGTTCAGTCACTCAAGTTAAAGAATATCAGTAACTTTATTGACAGAGGGATTTTATTTACCATGTTGGTAAAAAATAACGGTCAAAATTCAAAGTTATTCATTTTATAGGCTATAGTTATCGGAAAATGTGTGAGAAAATTAATAATAACAAAGAAGGACAACAAAATTATATTACCATAGAAACGCCTTCTAATTTTTAGGGTCCAGGAAAAATTCAACCATATTTTCATGTTTTTTTTTTAATTTTCTCTAAAATCGTATGGAAATTTGAAGAAATATAAACAGGATTAACCATTTTAAAAGAAGCAAACATTTTTATGAAGAATACATTTTTCTCAAAGTGTTCATAATAAAAAAAAAATCCTCTTGTAAAGACATTATATAAAGAAATAATTTCTCTTAGTGATTGATCTGTTAAAAATTCTAGACAATCTTTCCCAGTATAAAATGAGTTTAATAGTCAAAATATGACCAATATAAAAACAAACTTCAAGATTTCAATGCAGTAACAAAGCTATTTCAACAATTTTTTAATGGTGCTAAAAGCAAAAACTTGTGAGCTCCAATTCTATGATCTAATTCATCAAAAAGAAACTACATCGACTCTCAGGAGCACAGAAATAGTCTGGTAACAACCAATGAACTAAAACAGCTCAAACGGTTGGCCAGAATAAACCATCATCTACCACAATAGTAACGCCACATAAACATAGTAATGTTCAATCTAGCTGACTTCCACTGTGGATAAATTTATGATATTTAACCCTACAGAATAGACAGTATGTGCAATGAATTTTAAACATATTGTACCTGTTCCATTAAATTCGTGGCCATCAAACTGAACCGAAGCCTTGAACTGATTGGTCTCTACTTTTAAAGAGCTATCGTCAATGGAGTATTGGCACCCTTTGACCAGCTCATTAAGGATCATAACCGCATTCTTGGGCTGGAGAATCTTGCTCAATCTGGCGTTGCGTCTCCTCACTCTCTCAGCCTTGGAGATTTTACCTGTTAAAATTAGGATAGAATAGTTTTTCTTTTATATTAAATGACTGAAAATAAAACTAACTTATTTATGGTTCAGAAAACACGTTCACATAGCATGCCAGCCGAGAATTTCTATCAAAAACATACAGAAAACATAGCTTGTCATGCTTCAAATTTGCGCAGTGATTTGTCATCACAAAAATGCTGTTTTTTTTACTCTAATTTGAGAATCACAATATTTCAACATACCCTTGTTTTTGAACCAGAACTTCTTCCTAGTTCCGTCATCTTCGCCACCCTCCATTGCCTTCCGGTGCCGGTGGATTGGCTCCCTGGATGGGGACATCCTTTTTAGGGATGTTCTGTTGTACCTTCACGATGTTCTGTATCGGAGCTGGAGTTGGTGGTGGAGTAGGTTTAACCGGTTCCTGCTTTACTGGTGGCTAAAATAAGAAAAAGAAGCATTTATATAAAGCAGGCTACGTATGGCTAAGGAAGTAGATTTTATCTGATATAATGGCTATAAAAATTACCTGGGTTGAGTAGGATTGTTGTTGATAAGTTTGCTGAGATTGTTGCTGGAAAAAAATAACTAAACTCAGTATATGATTGACCACTAAGAGTACATAGTTTATAAAATATTTTGCTGTGCATTATATAAGACAAAAAGATTTTATAAAAAAAATACCTGGTTTTTAAAATTGATGCCAGTCTGCTGGGCACCCCTCTGTTGCTGTTGCGTATTTGGAAGCTATACGAGCAGGGTTAAATTCTCTGATTAGACTCTTAAACCCCCAAAGGTTTGAGGCACCCATATAGGTGCATCTTTAACCGAGACATGCAGATAGTAAAATTAGTTATTCAAATCCTGTTTTCATTTAATTCTTCTCAAAAAAAGATCAGAATAACCAATTTTATTACCTCTCACATCTTAAGTTAAGGATATCTATGCCGTTTTTATATCTTGACCCTAATTTGTCTAAACAAAATACTGGTCGAGCTCCAAGAAAACCAAAAACAACATATTCAACAAAAGAGAAAAATGAAATAAAAAATATCAACAAGGGTTTTCTTAAAGTAAACCTCGTATTGATATATAAACTGTTTTTTGGGGTCTCCAGAAAGACACCCAAAGAAAACAGCAATGGCATACAAAATATGTAGTCAAGATATTTATAAACGCTCAAAAAAAGAGACTTTCTCTTCATTAAACAAGAATACTCTGTTTCATTCATTGTTTTAATAAAAAGATAAATCAACTTGAATTGAGCATATCAAAAAAAGGTGCCTATATATGTGCAACTACCATGGCTCTGTATAGCTCAGCAGCACCTAGATATTAAAAATACTGTTAGTTCCTACTGTCAAAATCGATTTTTCGATAAAGCAAAATGATGGAAGCTTTTACAGAAAATTGAGACCCCTCATATTTCATTGTACTGAACTAGAAAATCGTTTTAAATATAAATTATACAATACCTGTCCTCCGGATACAAAATTACTGCCTATAGGTCTTCTTTGCCCGACTGCTGAACTTTGCTGTGCGTTTTGCGGAGCTGCAAATTAATTTTTTGTGAATTTCGAGTGCCGGGTCGCCATTTTAGTTTAAAATATTTTAAGGAAACTAAATAGCTACTTACCGCTGCTGTACGATCTTCGTGTATTATAAGACATTTTGGCTGTAGTAACACTACGATCGAGTCAAATATTATTTAATGGAAAATAACTCAAGAGTTTTACGTGCAAAACTGAAATTTTTGTCAGACACCAAAAACTTTCCGTCTTCCACCCAAGCCAAAATGCCGGAAACGAACGAAGCGGATGTTTGGTTTTATTTTTATTACCAATGGGAAATTGTGGCCAACATTAGCACAAAAAAAGTCCTAGATCGTTTCTTTTTCTCATTCTGTGGTTGGTAGGTTTTCCACATTTTGGCTTTTCGAGCACACAAAAAGCGAAAGAAGAAGAATTATGACAGCTAACCTGAAAAGGTAAACATGTTGACATACATTATGAAAAAAGTCCCAAAAATTGTTATTTAGTAGAAAAGATGCTTCTGCGGACATTTAAAAAATGTGGTATGCCGCTTTCATAAGATTTGTAAGGCGTCGAATCTTTTTAGGACTTATTTTAACCCTTTCGTTGTGCTACTGCATCTTCAGTTACATTGGCAAAGTAGGTCTGCAAGGTATTATAAAACTTATCGTAATAAGAATATGCTTTTAGTCTGAATATACCGATAACGACGATGTAATACTTATAAAAAGGACACAGCCGTTTATTTGGAGAACTTTGCAACAACATAATACAACAAATGATGTAGATGCGAACTGTAGGAATTCGGTACAAGGAAAGGCACTTATAGTTGATGACAGAGGTAAGCAAATATGATTATATATTATATTATAACTTTATTAGTTTATCAATGGGTAGAGGTTTATTGTCTGTTTTTATATAATCAGGCTATGTTTGTCCAAGAAACCAGATTCTAAGCAGCGGATGTTGCAACATTGAGTCTCAAAATGTCTATCAATATACTTGCGAGACTTGCAACACAAATAAATGCTGCGCAATTTACGAGTACTGTATTTCGTGTTGTTTACATCCAGATAAGGTAAAGCTATAGATTAACTTAATCATTGTTTTAATAAAAAAAAAATGAACAATCATCGATTGTATTTCAGAAAGATGTATTAGAAACGATTTTAAAGAAGGCCACAGAGCAAAACAACGTACTGTTTGCTTCCGTGACTGATCACTTTGAGTTGTGTCTGGCAAAATGTCGGACAAATTCTCAAAGTGTTCAGCATGAAAACTCATACAAGGATCCTAAAGCAAAGCATTGCTATGGGGAATCGGCACCAAGTACAAACGATATTGAGGATGCTTAAGACATTAATTATTCTCTTTTGGCAAGTGCAATTCTATTACAAGTAAGCTAACGAGCCTAAGTGCCAACCTTTTTATGTTTTTAACCAATTAGAATATTTTCTATATTATTACTGAATTTTTGGTAGGTAATAATAACTTACATCAGTTAGAATATTAAAATAGTTTAATGTTCTGTCAATAGATTAAATTTGGATTTTCTAGTCACTTTATTTTAATTTCAAAGAATTATTAAATGCTGTTTGTTTTAAATTAATTTCACATACATTATCATAACATTTATGGTTACTTAATATTTATGTATTAATTTTATATTGCTTTTATAGCTTATTTTCATTTAAATGTTACATATAAAAATTTTGGAATTTTTTTTTATCAGAGTATACAATATTCAGAGTGGACCTAAAATTGATTAATACTTAGTATTAAAATAAACTTTTAACAATTATTTCACCTTATTTGGAGTAGAAAATAGACTTATCACTCCGTCCTTAATTTTTTTATATACAGGGTGTACGTTAGTGTGCAAAAAACTTCAGGTGATTGATTTAATGTAAGTTTTTTACTCATATTCTTTACACCCTGTATATTACATTCACTAGTTCAAACATATCATAGTTAGTCAAAAAATTCGGAATTTTTATTTGCAATATTTAATTTTACGCATAATGTACTAAATACATTTTATTTAGTTGTGATAATAATTAGTTTTAAGTAGAATAAATCTTAATATATGATAAAAAAAGGTATCTATTTTATGGTTTCTACCATATCTTGTCCTTGTTCGATGCCGTAGTGGAGTTGGTTGCCTTTTATGTAGCCCCATGACATCCTCCTGCTGGTGAATCCAATTCCTATGTCGCCATTTTTTGAGAGTGTAATAGCACCTAAGTTAGAAAAAAATATATATTTTAAATTTACACTTCAATACAATATCAGAAATTCTATTAGTACTTTTGAAGTGTATTTTTTTAGCGCGCATAAAAGTATATTATGTTAAAAAAATGATTTGCGCGGCGCAGCCGGTGTTTACGCACCTTAAGAAGTAAGAATCTCCGTTCATACAGTGTTTATTTTAGTGTTTTCATGAACTTTCATAAATTTTTTGCTTGATATTTCAGCTTTTTTGTTTAATATTTACCTGCAGTATTTTTCAGTCTTTTCGTCATTTTTTCTAATGTTTCATTAGTAGCCTCGTTAGCACTATTATTTGTGTATTCCATATTTTTTATTATGGCATGGGCTAAACACCATTTAGCTATTGTCTCGCCATGACCTGTAAATAAAGATTTTTTCGTTTGAATAATACACTATTACATTTTTTAAATAAATTGAAAATAACCGAGTTATCTAAATTTGAAAATTCAAAAAATAATGAGAACATTTTGAGAAGCGCCGGTATCAGCGGGATCTCAGCTTACTTGACGCCCAGTGTTGCCGCATGAACAAAAAATTATACACTTAACTTAATTGAAAATACTTCGTATTATCATGATAAAAGAATCTGCAATAATTATTAAGATTTATCCTGTTATTTTAGTTGCAAATAACTGTAAAATATATTATAATATATTTTACAGTTATTTGCAACTAAAATAACAGGATAAATCAATAAAAAAATATAATAATAAATATAATATAATATAGCCACTGTGCGTAAAATTACTGTCAACTAGGAGGTGGCAACATTGAAACACTGTGATACTCCTTCTAGGAATTTTAAGTGAATCGACCTGCGGCCTGCGGCACTAAAAAGTTTTTTAAATAAATTTACTGCAGATTTTCAAGGAGGTTGTAAATTATTTTTTTGGTCAAAAACACTTCTTTGGGAGACACGCTGTAGGTATATATATCGTGTATGAATGTATACCTGTAGTAGAAACCGCACCCACATTGTTGTCTGCGTAAGTTCCACAACCAATCAGCGAAGTGTCGCTGCTTCTTCCTACCATTTTACCACTTATGCCCCCAGTTGACGTGGCAGCGGCCAGGTTGCCATATTTATCGATGGCGACGGCTCCTACAGTGCCTACGTCACCACCAGGGTTCTAAAGGAATATATTTAGAAAACTTAATCTTAATAACTTAACACAAGTTTTTTTTACCTGGTCGCCGATTTCGGTTCTCAGGACTTTGGTCTTTTTAAACTCTTCAAAGTCCTTCTGGGCTTGAGGGGAGACCAAAGTACCTGGTGGTACCCTGGGTGCTCCCTGTTCTACCGCAAATTTGTAGGCACCTGCACCCGCTAGCAAGACATGAGGTGTTTTTTCCATTACCAGTCGGGCCAAACTAAAAAATAAATAAATAAAACGATATAATAAGGGGGCGTAGCTATGTTTCTGTCATTTTTTGGATGTCATCTGTCATAATCGACCTTCCTTTTGGACAGACATTAAATATAGGACCAAAAATCAAACCTTATAGGATGTGCGACGTCTTTGACAACTGTGACTGCTCCGGCTCCTAAGTCAGATCCCACCATAATACTGGCATCCATTTCTACCTCTCCTTCTAGGTTTAGAACTGATCCATAACCTAACAAATATAATTATTACGTAACGTACCGTATGATCGAAAAAAAAACGGCTTCAGCTATGGCTATGAAATGAAAATCGCTATTATTTTATATGTAAAATTATATGGGGAATGTCATCGATCGTCATTTCCAAGCCAAGTGGACGTTGTTTTTTTTTCGGTCATACGGTATGTTTTTTACATTGAACTATTTTTTAAATTATGTGAGTTGGTTATAGTTCAACCCCAGAAACACGCCTATGAGGTTTTATTTCAAGAAAAAAAAAATTTTAATTTTTTGAAAAATTTTTTGGAAATTTTTTTAGTCTTTAGTTAAAAAACATAATTTCTTGTTAATATGGCAACATAGGTAGTAGATTAAATTTGCAAGAAAGAAAATTCAGAAAAGATCCAGCGGTTCTCTGATCCATAACCTAACAAATATAATTATTACGTTACGTACCGTATGATCGAAAAAAAACGGCGTCAGCGATGGCTATGAAATGAAAATCGCTGTCATTTTATATGTAAAATTATATGGGGAATGTCATCGATCGTCATTTCCAAGCCAAGTGGACGTTGTTTTTTTTTTCGGTCATACGGTATGTTTTTTACATTGAACTATTTTTTAAATTATGTGAGTTGGTTATAGTTCAACCCCAGAAATACGCCTATAAGGTTTTATTTCACGAAAAAAAAAATTGAAATGTTTTTGAAAAATTTTTTGGAAATTTTTTTAGTCTTTAGTTAAAAAACATAATTTCTTGTTAATATGGCAACATAGGTAGTAGATTAAATTTGCAAGAAAGAAAATTCAGAAAAGATCCAGCGGTTCTCTGATCCATAACCTAACAAATATAATTATTACGTTACGTACCGTATGATCGAAAAAAAAACGGCGTCAGCGATGGCTATGAAATGAAAATCGCTGTCATTTTATATGTAAAATTATATGGGGAATGTCATCGATCGTCATTTCCAAGCCAAGTGGACGTTGTTTTTTCGGTCATACATGTTATTTATATTGAACTATTTTTTTAAATTATGTGAGTTGGTTATAGTTCAACCCCAGAAACACGCCTATGAGGTTTTATTTCACGAAAAAAAAATTTGAAAATTCGAAATTTTTGAAAAATTTTTGGAAATCTTTTAGCTAAAAACAGAATTTTTTGTTAATATGGCAACATCGGTAGTAGATTAAATTTGCAAGAAAGAAAATCCAGAAAAGATCCAGCGGTTCTCAAAATTTTAGCAAAATATTTTTTGGGAAATTTTTAAACGATAAAAGAGAAAATATGTTTCTTTTTTATCTATAGATCTATCACCCCTTAAAATACTTGCAGTTATTTCTGGGACACCCTGTATACCAGGCCAGTCTGTAGAGTGATTAAAGGAGAATTATTCAGTGTAGCGATTAAGGGTTAAAGTAGATGCACTTATTTAAAAACACTCGGTATAACAAAAAAAAACTTATATGGAAACGGTAATAAGTAAAAATTTATATGAAAAAAGTTTATTTGGTATTGATTTACATACAGGGTGTTCCTTGATGACATGCTAGTCTTTTCTCTTAAATATGGTCCTTAAATATTAGCAAGTCATTAAGGAACACCCTGTATACGTATGTACAAGTTTTATACTAGCAAAAAATTACCACAATTGAATGCTTCATTTAGTTCCATAACCCTAACAGCTTCTTCCACAGCATCCAGTGCGGTACCTCCATCTTTCAGTATCTTAAATCCAGCTGTTACTGAATTTTTGATGCCAGCATGTTGGATTTACCCTGGAATCAGGTATATCCCCAGCTCCACCATGAATCAGTAATATTGGTTCCATATTTTTATATTTCGTACTGAAAAAAAAAGGTCGAGATGATACGAAGCAGAAACGAAAGTGCTTAAAACTTGAGATTTATTTAAATATGTTGGCAGCGATAAAAGTGAATAAATATTTGTTTTTATCTTTGTGAATGCAAGATGATATTAAAATATCTTTTATACAGAAAACAGTACCTAGAGTATTTTTATTTCGAGTTGTTTACTGTTAAAGAAAATAACTTGTCATTATAAAAACATATTTTTTATCTCGAACACTAATATATTTTTTTTTCATAAAATATGCTTTATAATCAAAATATTAAATTAATAAACTTACTGACTCCCTAGTCATTAACTGTAACCTATTTTCGGAGTATTTATTATATATCTATGTGTATTTCTGTTCGATTTACTTTCACTAAAGATGTGGAAGTATCAGAGAAAAAATTTCCTTACCTGTAAAATGCTAGATTAAAAAAAAGGTTTATTTTGATTTAAATGACTTGCAATTTTGACATTTTTATTTATATACTGGTCAGTATAAATTTGACGAATAAAAATTTTTGATGTACCTAAACATTTTTAAATAAAAGATAGCACAATATTTTTAAATGTAAATTAATAAAAAAGTTAATAAAATATAACAAAAATATAATATTTTCACATTCTATCATCCTTGTATATCTAAGAATATATAAACAAGACTATTATTAACAATATAATTTTTATAATACCACAAACCCCACAAACTAACTTGAATGTGAATAATTCATTGCTCGTTATAGTAATTATTGTTTTGGTTAAGATTTCTTTGAAAAAAAATCTACAGCTGGTTGGTGGATTGCTGAAATAATAGTCAAATTATCATAGTATAGTTGTATTCATTTAAAACTTCCCAATATGGCGGACTTCAGTATGGGAGGCTTAAAAAACGAAAATCTCTAGACTGGAATCGACTGCAGTTCAAATCGTTCAAATTGATAATCTGTGGTAAATCCAATTGAACTCTGACACTTGGCTGACATTGACGTTTACGGTTCCTTTTTCTAAATATTTTCATTATTTTTTGAGTTTTTATTCACAAATTCTACTTTCTACTTGACCTTGTTCTTTTTATTTAACCTGCAGTTACTAATTATAGTAGTTATAAATAATCTTTTTCACCGATCAAGAGGAGGAATAGGCTGGAAGATATTCAAAATGTGTAAACGCTTAAAAATGTATTAGAAAACATTGACTCGTCCACAAATTCGTGAAAATAAATTAGTCCAGATGTTTGTAAAAAGGTCTCTAATTATTTTGAGAAGTTTCCTCGTATCAGTAATTTTCAGGTTTGTAATATGTATATGATAATAAATAGATTAAAACTTATATTTCAGGAAACAGCGCGGGCATTACAGATTGTTGTAAATCAGTTTTAAAATATAAAGAAGGTTTAAAACAGGTTTAAAAGTTGAGTTAGTAGAGAAGACCTAAATAAGGTAATGTTGGTTTGTTAAAAAAAAACCAAAGATCAAATAACACTTGAAATATTAATTGTAAGTAGTTTTTTATGAATCTGTTTGATATCTATTGCATTGTTTTTTATATATTTCTTGAAATATATATTTTTTTTACTTTACAGGATACACAAGGAATAATAAAAAATACAGTTACTCACTAAAACCACTTAAGGTTTGTAATAGATGTAGTTAGAATATCAAACACCAAGCCAAACCAAAAATTATGTTTTATTTTACTGGTATTCCTCACATTTGAACGGAAAGTCATTTCATAAATAAGCAGAAGGACATTGTATAGTACACTCTATATTAATAATTAATATATAAAAATTCTTTTTTATCCTATACTTGTTAGTTGGGCGCATCACTTACTAGGTATAAAATTTAGTACTGATTCCAAACCTATAGTTGTGGTTGTGACATATTCTGATGTGTTTCTGGCATTTTAAAAATAAGTTAATATTTAAACAAACATTTATGGCTTTTCTGACAGAAGTGTGAACACAAATTTAATAAAGGTATAATGTGGATAATGTTCTGATTATTAAAGTTTGCATGGATGTTTTTGTATGTTTTTATTTTTAATAAAGTATATTTAATGAGTTTTTGAGTATTTCTTTTTCCCTCAGAGGATTGTGTTCTAATCTTTATATATAAATTTTCATAAATTATATTTACAAAATTTATTACTTTATAACTTTTTGATAAAGACTTTGTAGATGATACAGTTTAACAGTATATATTATTATTATTATTATAAAAACTATTTAAATAAGATGTTTGAAAATATATAGCTGTTTTTGCCCACATTAATTCAATTTGTGATTAACAGTACTGAAATAAAAACAAATTAAGAGAAATGGGGTGATCTATCAACTATAACATGAAACGCATCATCCTATTTCTAAGTCTTCTATTAATTTCACTTATTAAACAAATATATATTATTCAATAATCTTGATAATTCTAGGATCTCACAGATATCGTCAAAACATGAAAACAAAAATTCACTTCCTATAGTTCTTACGTCCCTTTAACTGAAATATAAGTAACAGGGTTAATATTCTCACTGAGAAAGTTTATAAAATACTTTTAAAGTAAAATCTCCTCGGATCTGCGGTAAAATACCTTTATTCTTATTAAATAATTTCAATAATCTATGTTTTTATTTATGACAACCACCTAATAACCTAACTTTAACGTCAACTTGACAATCCTGAAAAATGTTATTGTTAACCAAAGAGTAAATCAATTTCTGAATTCGCTAACGCCAACTTATTTTTCATTAAAAAAAAATCACCAATTTTCGTAACTAGGTCGGCCATATTGAGGAACTTTTAAAAAAATTGTACTATATAAGGTGTAAAAGTTTACTTGTTATGGTAAATATAAAACGATATCTAGATATTCCTAACTTTAGCCACAATATTTTGATTTTTTTAAATCAATATTTTTTTTGCGTATATTGAGTTGCCTATAATAGAGGGGGAAATGTCAATTATGGATCCGTTTTGTTTTTGTTTTGAATAAAATTAAAAAAAATTTATTGTTTGTATTTGCTATTCCTGAATTTTATTCCTATTTCATTTAAATATCGAAGTAATAACTTATTAACACCCTTAATGGCAAGTATTTCAAGGCTCTGCATTACAATTACTCTAGCAAAATATTTTTTATAGCTAGAAACTAGAAACATCCCTGAAACAACATGTAATCAGATGTAATCAATCAACTGAAGAGTTTTCAGTCGAGAAATTCTTAAATAAAATAAGCAGAAATCTTAAAGTAAGTAATAAGTTTATTTAAAAATATGTAATAGTTTGTATAGTAAACATCTGTTTATTTACATTCAGTTTCAATTAATAATTACGAAATATTAAAAATTAAGGTATTATTAACTGAATTATATTTAATCTACTATCACAATGCCAAAGGATATTTTGCAGAAGAGTATGTACAAATTACATGCATTAAACATATACTTCCTAAATTCCTTCTGTGCTAAATTCCTAACAGTACAAAATACAATTCGCGTGTTAATTATTTTTTGATGAACTACTATACAAACTTTTAAAACTTATATATCATTATTTTAATATACCTTTTTTCCCAAATATATTTAGATTATTCAAATTTAAATAAGAACGTTTGAAAAAAATTTTCTTAGGTTAAAATTTTAAAAAAATGTCAAATATTCATCAGAGATGGCGCTATTTCATCACCTTTTCGGCCCTTCAAATTACAGATTTCTTGAAATTACTTATAGATTAATGTGGAAGTTTAACTACTGGTGAATAGGTGTCGCCATTGCCTCCAGAAAATAGATATCTGTAATATTGTGACGAAGTTTAACCTTTGTCCGCTCGATGGCGCCATAAGCGATTTTAGTTCCAAAATATTCCACAAGGATAAACTGGCGCTGTAAACAGTTAACCGCGCTTTATTAAAAATTTGAATATGCGAATATATTCAGCCTTTTTGAATACTTCAGTCATATCAAAACACAGTGAAATTTTTTAACTTAAATTCTAAAAAATATAAAATATTATAAAATAATTTTAAAACTAAATTTACATGCGACGTGCAACCAGTAATACAAACATTAGTAATAATTGTGATTGGTTAGTTCTGAATTGTCATTTGATTTTCACGTCTGTGTTGCCAAGATATTAAAAAAGTCCTGAAACTAATTTAAATCAATATATTTGTAGGTATAAAACGAATTGAACCGTTACTAATATATGATAAATCCATTAAAAATATAATACAAATATTGTTTCAGTAGAATAAATAGTATTTTTAGACACAGCTTGGACACAGCATTATTTTTACATTAAAAAATTATCACCTTGTTATTTACATGTGTTCAAACTGACAACATTGACAGTGTGTCATTTTCCGTTGTACTCGCAGCATGTCCTGGCTCTTACAATTTTCGAATTTTCTGATTTTCTGTGGAACAAGTGGTTTTTCTGTGCATTATATTAGTTTATGTTGTTCCTTAAGCCTTGTTACACCTCCTGAAAATGTAAGTGCTCATTATTTTCTATAGTTCTTTTCCCTTTCAAATATTTCAGTTACATCATCTTTAAAAGCTTATATATTTTTCATATTTTCATGATTTTCTTTTTCTAAATTGAGTATATGGAAATATATATACTTTCTTTAATGTCTCTGTTGTACGTTAAACATTTAGTTACCCTGAGTATCGCTTATTTAGAGACATTGGATATTTTTTGGTCAAATTTTCTTTGGTATAGTTTAAATATGTTTTGCATTCCTAATTTTTTTAGGTGTTTATGTACAGGAAAACAAGTTTTTGCTACGTTGTTTAGAATAATTCAACGTTAGTATACCTAAAGAGGCTGCCATTCCTAATAATTATATTATATTTTCAGATAATAAAAAAAAACGTTTACACTTCACATGTTTACTATATACTGCCACACTGCCATCATATTTTAGATAAATTTGTATTATTTTAATATAATTAATATAATTCTTTATTTTTTAGGAGCGTTATTAATACACCATACCACACCGATAAATACCACCTAAAAGGAGATACCTAGGTTACCCTTTATCTAATCCAGATGTTTGGCCATCATTCTGATTTACGAGATTGGTTTTCTATTATATATGATTGAAAGTAAGTTTAATATATAATTTAAAAATAATTTTAATAAATTTCTTAAATGTTTATTAACGACTAACCATATTTTTAAGATATATTTAATATTAATATAAATAAAAAAAAAATAAACAAAACATTATAGCGTAATTAATGAAATGTAATACTTTTATTTCTTATTTTTACAGATTTTGTACAACAAATCAATGGATGTATGCAGTTCCAGGACAGTTAATTGATCCTTTTGATGAATATTACCAATAATGAATCAGGAAATCAATTTTCCTGCTCCTATTGACCAGATATCTCTATTTGTTTTTAATACTTAAAACTTCTTTCCCATTTTGCATTTTGGCCTACCTCTCATTTTTTTATCTGTCATATTTTTTTACTATTGGAATATCATCATTGTCAACTCTATAAATTCTTTCAGTGATTGTCTTAAACATTTACATATTTTTTGTCATTCTTCTGATTGTTTTCTAATACATATTTCATCAATCTATTGCCTGTATAGAATTATAGCTTTTTTCCATTTTTTCCAACTATTTGTCCAAACTAAAATTTATTTATTATTTTATTATTAACGATTTCCAACTATTGTATCCAAAATAATTCTATAATTTTTTGTGTCATTCTTCTGAGACTTTATCACTCATTTTCATGCAATTTTTTTAATTCCTCGTATCTCTATTTCTTTATTTGTCTCCTATATTATATTCATTGTATGAAATCTATTATTCTATGTATTACTGAATTACCTGTCATCATTTACTTGTACTCTTTTTGTTTGTATTGTATAATTTTATGTCAAGTTATCTCTAAGGTATTTTATTTCTATTGTCAATATAGAGTTGTAATTCTGGAATCTGGAATCATATTTTTTTTCAATTTATCATACCATACAGAGTAAAACTTAATTATTAATTAGTATAATTTATTATTTGCCTTACATGTTGGTTGTAATTATCAATCTCTTATTTGTATTATTGTTTATATTACTGCTATTTCTCCAAACATTTCTAACAAACTCTTTCAAGTCTTTGTTTCATTTCTATTGATTTCTACATAAATTGTATAGATTCTAATCCCTTTTAAAATTGTGCGTTTGAATGGGATATTGTACTGCTTTGGAACAAGGATTTTTTGGGACAGCTGCACTTCATTGCAACCACCCTCTTCAAGATGCCATTAGGTTGATTAAATTCAACATCCAACAGTAGATTGAGAATGAAATTCATCATTGAAGAGGAAGCTGAATAGTTTTAGATAAATTAACTGAAAAGTGTTTTTTTTTAATTCGAATATGTTTATTAAATACGTAATGTTATTTGTTATTGTATTTTGTAAAATAATGTAGTTATTTATCATTAATTTCATATAAAATACTTTGCGCGCACAATTTACTCTAGTATAGGCAACTAAAAATACATCAAGAATTTATATAATTTTTATTTTTGAGTAACTGAGTTAAGAGTGAATTTTTGATTTTTAATTATTAACACTTTTAATTTTAGTACAATCCTTAAGAATATACCGTATGATCGAAACAAAATGGCGTCCAGTTGGCTGGGAAATGACAGAGATATAGACTTAGTCTATATCTCTGGGAAGTGATGATTGCATGATGACATTTCCCATATAAATTTACATATAAAATGACAGCGATCTTCATTTCATAGCCATCGTTGACGCCGTTTTTTTTTTCGATCATACGGTACAGCTAATGTAACCGTGTTTTTTTCCTTTTATTACTATTAAAAAAAGATTTTTATGTTATGAAAGATTCCAATATATCTTATAATACCGTATGACCGAAATAAAATGGCTTTCAGTTGGCTTAGAAATGACGGTTGGTGACATTCCCCATATAATTTTATATATAAAATGACATCTTCATTTCATAGCCATCGCTGACGCCGTTTTTTTTTTCGATCAAACGGTATTTTTATTACAGAACCAAGAGTTTTCAGAAGGGTAGCCCGAAGATGTATTTCCCTCAACATAGACATCAGCCATGTCCATCAACATCTTGGATTTTAATATACTTTTTATATTACTCTTGTTAGTAAAATGTATGTTAATAAATAATAATTAAAAATAAATGAGTTTTATTGAACCAAAATGCACATAGAAATACTGTCTAATCCTGAACAAAAAGAAAAAGTAATTTAATTATCACAAAAATAATATATTCTAATAATAAAAAACTTTAGAGGTTGTTCTGGAATAGACAGTATTTTTATATAAAAATAATACTAACGATTACCTCTTCGCACTTATGTACTCCTGATACAAATCCGAGAAAATACAGCTTTAACAAAAATTAAACGAACATTTTTAATCCTTGCCCAAAATCACTGATTTCTATCAGGAGCACATAAGCGTAAAGAGGTGAGAAGTAAATTAAATAGCAATATTTTTACCTAGTCGGTCTTATGCACTCCTGATACTAACTCGAGAAATTCAATTTTTAGTCAAAGAGTGCACGAAAATTTTTAAAACTGGTCAAAAATCGTCGATTTCAGTCAGGAACGCATAAGGGCGAAGAGGTAAGGAGCAAATTGAGTACCACATGTAAATATAGCATCGATCAACGATATTTCTGCTATCTCTAGCACTTCGAACTCGTTTCTAAACTTCAACCCTTAATATCTCGGAAACTATAAGGGTTAGAGAGGAACGGAACTCGGCATTCGATTCACCTTTCAACCCTCTAAAAGGGTGCATAATTAAAGCGCGATCGGAGACCAAAAATTTTTTTTTCGAAAAATGAGGTAAGGGGTTAACCTTCCTTCATTTTTCCTGAAAATTTTTCTTGTCTCCTATCGCGCCCCAAATTTGCACCCTTATAGAGGGTTGAAAGGTGAATCGAATGCCGAGTTCCGTTCCTCTCTAACCCTTATAGTTTAGAAGTTATGGCCGTTTTTCGAAAAAATCTAACTCATTCGAACTCGTTGGTCCAGTACTCTAGTTTTTTACCTAGTCGAATTATTTTGACCAACTTTTGTCCAAAATCTGACCATACTGAGAATAAATGAGATCGAGGAGGTAAAAATTAGGAGCAACATTAATTTATATGTGCTCTATAAATACAAATAATTTTCTATTGTATTATATTTACCTACTCGCTCTTATATATTCCTGATAAAAATCATAGATTTTCTCAACTTTAACATAAATTGTACCAACATTTTTAAACGTCAAAATCACCGATTTCTATAGGGAGCATATAAGAGTGAAGTGGTAAGGAGATATTTGTATTAAAAATAAAACATAAATATTTTAACTAATTCACTTTATTTTTAAAACAAAACGTACAAAAATATAATACAATATATACAAGGTGTATCAAAGAAGATGCACGTAGTGGACCTCGATCATGGTACGATGTAGATGGAAACTTGTGCACTGAAAATAATAGAAAAATCATATTAGTACAGTAAATCTGTTGAAAAAAACGGCGTCAAGTTGGCTTGGAAATGACAATGACATTCCCAATACAATTTTCAATAAAGAAATACATTCTTCATCTCCAATCCAATTTTGATCGTGTTTTTCGATCGTATAAAATCGTATGACTAAAAAAACAGCGTCAAGTTGGCTTGGAAAAGGCTATCAAAGACAGTTGCCATATGATTTTGCGTCTAAAAATACCACGATTTATCTTTCGAAGCCCATTCTAACGCCGCGCCGTGTTTTTTAGAACGTATGGCACCATATAATCATAAAAAAACAGCGTTTGGTTGGCTTGGAAAAAACAATCGATTCGATTACATTCCGCATATAAGTTTATATATAAATTGACAGCTGATGAGTACATTTTATATTTAAAAAAATAGTTATTTAGTTAATACCTGTTTGGGAACACTAAGACATTATCCATAATTGTTGATAACATTCAGGCTCTAGAGGCAGGTGATATTTTTTGCGGAAAATCTGAAACAAAAAAAAGTCATTCAAACAATTTACCATTAAAAGAAGATAAAAAATAAAGCAACAAAAATGTATTTTAAGTTTGTCTCATACTTATATTAACTTAATTTGACGCAAACAGAAGTAAATAATAAACAAATATCAAGTTATAGTATTATGATTAAGCTAAAATTACAAAATACTGCAATATTATCATTAATATAATGATAACAAAGATATTTAATACCCCAAGCAGTATTAAAAGTAATTTCATAGCATTTAAAAAATTTTCCGCGCATTCAAATTTTTAATAAAGCGCGGTTAACTGCTTACAGCGCCAATTCACCCTTGTGGGACATCTTGGAACTAAAATCGCTTGTGGCGCCATCAAGCGGACAAAGATGGAACTTCAATACCAAATTACAGATTTCTATTTCAGTAAGAATTTAGCGACATCTACTCGAAAGCAGTCAAACTTTTCCATTAAAATAAATAGTAATATGTAGAAATCTGTAATTTTAAGTGCGAAAAAGAAATGAATTAACGCCATCTTTGTTTAACATAGAATACTATCTATTTTAACATTTTTTGATTTTTCTTCAAAGTTTTTATTTAAATTTGAATAATTTTCTAAATATATTATATTAAATGACTACCTACCATTACTTACAATCTCCAATGCACTGGTTGAACATCTTCATGAAGGTAAACAAGCTTCTCTAAAAACATTGATTGGAGCCTTCTTCTATCGTGTCTTAAAAGGAAGAAAAAAAGAACGAAAATAGGAAGAAAACAAGAGTTGATCAAGGAAGATCTATACAGAAAAGAAAATAGAGGACCTCACCCAAGACAAGTTGAAGCAAAGTGAGCGCCCAGCTAAGGTACCTCGGGTTCGCCAGACCCGTACTCACAAGACGTGAGCCCCTGAGACAGCCACAAGACAAGTTAAAATCTAGGACAAATAAAACACTACACAAGGTTCATTTTATTTAATTTCACCACAAAATTCGTAAAGTACTTACATATAATATTTTTTGATTTTATTCCATTGTCGTTTGGTCCTAAACGCCAAACGAACAGAAACGAGTATAAAGTAATATAAACAACTTAAAAATAACTTGCTTTATTTTATCGTAATAATTAAAATTGACTGTTCATTCCTAAACGTAAAAATTATCATAAGATACTGTGTAGAATTGTATGAACAAAGAGAGAAGGAAAAAAAAAATAAAACAAAGTTATTATCACATATAGAATGTAGACCTTATTAAGGTATATCAAGTTAAAAAAAAAATTAGGACCCTAAAATGATAAATATATACACGAACGGTGTCTCCCTGAATAAAGAGAGAACTTATAATAATAATAATAATAATATGAATCGATATTTTCGTTACTATATACGTATAAGAAATTTGTTTTAGATATACATTGCTAAAAAACAACATCGAACTCTCCTCTTCTCTGTAAAAAAATAGTTAGCCATATAGAAGCTCGTCTATCTGCTGAAAAATGTCAAGTGTCTCGAGTAATATAAAGGACTAGAATAACAAGTTAAAATATATAATTGTTAAAACAGGTTTTGTCTCGTTAAAATGATATACAGGTATAATCAAAAATAAATACTAGCTGGTCCAGTTTTTCAACGTTACTCATTTTATAAACATGTAAAAAGTATCAGTTTGTCGAAAAAATAATAAATCTTCTACATATATATGGATGAACAAAGTGAATCGGCTAAAAATTGTTCCTAAAGCAGATTTTTTTTTCTTTATAAAGCAGTTATTGTAAACAACCCTTATTTTTTTAAAGTAGGTATTAAATATTCAAAATTTTGAAACATTTGTATAAAATATGATTTTTTTTTTGTAAAATTGTTATTATAGAGTCCCTTATCATAAAATATTCAAATTGTAAAAAAAACAACCATTTCTCAAGCCAAAACACATTTTTTTTACAAAAAAAAAATTTAAAATAGGAACTAAATTTAGTTTATAAAAAATTCTTTCAATTAATTTCAATTTTGTATTTATTCCTGATTATACCATAGTTTGTTTATTTTATTATTTGAATTTCTGTTACAAAAACTTGTAACAAAAATGTCATGCAGTTGAAAACAGCAACACTGAAAAGAGATAATTTTCCCCAGATCACACCATATAAAAATGTCTTTTCACACTTTCTCATCAACGATTAGCCAGACTTATTATGTAATCATATAATTTCTAAAAAAGAAAACGTTTACCAGTATTTATATAGATTTAAACATAATAAAAAAAACAGTATAAGTATACAGGGTGTTTTCTTTCTACATCCCCAATCAATAGCTAGTATTTTGGATGAGTTGTATAAAGACATATGTTTTTATCGGACATCCTGTATACTTAAGCAGATAGTTTCAAACCGCCGTTCCTATACATGACACTTGCTGTGTCAATAGTGTTTTAACAACTGATTACAATAAAAAAATCTATTTATAGAGGTATAGAAAAAAAAGCAATACACAGGGTGGTCCGAACTGTATTTCGGAAACTTCGGCAGCATATTCTGCAGATAAAAATACAGGGTGTTGAAGTTTAATTTTTATTTCGATTTTTTCCAAATAAATTCTGAAGTAACGTTAATATTCGTCTGGGAGTTTTTTGACATGAGAAATTTGATTTTGATGTCAATACAAATCCTATTTGTAGGGGCACCACCTACATGTATTTTAACTGTTTTGAAGAACAATAACTTTTCGTTCGTACATGTATAAAACTACCGAGTGAAAAAATATACATTCCCGTGACTTTTTACGCAAAAAATGACTCTTGGTAAAAATCGCTACGAGCAACCGTTCTCAAGATATTTAGAACGGAAATAGTCAATACATGTTATTATTGACAAAAAATAAATATGTTGAGTAGATAGGTATAGTCTGTGAAACGAATAACTTTGAATTTGACAGTTCCCGCGGACTCTTCTAGTGTTAATTTTATTAGGTTAGCAACTTGCTGCCATGCTGACGCAATGCCGTCTCTAATAGAACAGCCTCGGAGCGAGATTTATTACGTCACGCTAGTTAGATACTACGGATTAATAAATATGTTGTAGAATACATGGAAAACATAATCATTCCTCCTATTTTTGGTTTGTATTTTAAAAATGATATAGTTTACATGAAATATCTACATATATAAAATGCTAATGTTTATCTGTGTCGCCTCTACAGAAGTAACGACTTGCTCTAGAAAGTTGCTTTTTTTACTAAAAGATAGCTAATTGGCTCTTCTAAAAACCGTCGTCGCCGGATTTTTTGTTTTTCATTTAATTAAAAAAAAAATCAAAAGTATTTTGTTACTGATAGCGTGGCGGACGCGCCAGGCATCAACTAGTACTTAATATACAGTTAATTCTGTATATACATAATATACAGGCTATAATGTTAGCCGAAACGTTTTTTTTAACCAAAAAAAATATACATATTCTAAAACATATTTATTAAACCGTAGTATCTAACTAGCGTGACGTCATAAATCTCGCTCCGGGGCTGTTCTATTAGAGACGGCATTGGTATGATACCTATTTAGAAATGTCAAAAGCTGATGACATTTTACTTTTGACAATTATGACATTTCGCGTCGATTTTTGCAAGAAGAGGAAGAACTGTCACTTGTTTTATTATTTTCCTTTTCTATTTCACGAAAGTAAAAAGAGTTACCTATCTGATTCGTTCAGGCACTCAATTTAAAGAATATCAGTAACTTTTTTGACAGAGGGATTTTATATTTGCTATATTGGTAAAAAATAATGGTCACAATTCAAAGTTATTCATTTTATAGACTATATTTCGTCCCATTGCTGCCAAAAGTCACTAACTTACTTTTTATTACTTCCGAGAAAAATGCGTCTAAAGATGAATTGCATTGCATAAAAATGTTATAGTTAGTAACTATTCGGTATTAAAATAAAACATAAATAGCCAGAAATCGTAGTTAATGACTTTTGCAATCGATTCTCCGCTTCAAAACATAGTTACCGATTGAATTTGGTTGTTTGGAAAATGTTAGTTAGTGACTTTTGGCAGCAATAGGACGATTTGACTGAAAAAATAAATTTGGGAAATTTTTATTTTTCTAAATTAATCATAAATTTTTTTGCGAAAAAATGATGACAAAACCACCTTTTTTACGTAAAAATCGTCGTTAATGTATATCTTTTTACTCAGTAGCTTTATACAGGTACAGACGAAAAGTTATTACTCTTCAAACTAGTTAAAAAATACGTAAGTGGCGCCCTCTACAAGTAGGAGTTGTATTACCTCAGAATCAGATTTCTCATGTTGAAAAAACTCCCAGAAACCAATTTTCATCCAAATTGACGTTACTTTATAAATTATTAGGAAAAAATTGAAATAAAAATAACATTTCTACACCCTGTATCTGCGAAACTAAGTATTTTCGGACATCCATTTATACGAACTTTTTTTACTTATTTTTATCTGCAGAATATATTTCCGGAATACAGTTTGGGTCACCCTGTATATGAAAAAAGAAATAATAGTATTTTTCTCTACAAAATTTGAAGGACGTTTGGTAAAATTCCCAAAGATATAAAGACAACAAATTCATAATAATATTTATATATAGAACTGTATCAATATTCCGAGCTACCTATAAATATATTTCCGGTTTCTAGAACCTATAGTTTGTCTTCACACATTTGAGATCACCGAATAAAAAGACTAAGGAAGAAAAGACGTCATGGTAGCCACTTTAAACGCCTTCTTCTTTACTTCATAATCGATTTAATGTAAAGTGTATTGATCTGGAAACACCTCCGAATCTTAGAATAAGATATCAAGTCGGCCATATCGAGTCCTTAGTCGTTTTAGTCGACGATCCGTATATGAATTCAGCTTAACAACTACGTATATATTCGTGCCCATACGCGCGCGTCTCGTATCACAGTCAAATAAAAATCAGATTGTTTACATCGTTTTCCAAAAAGAACGGTTTATTTGCTCTCTAGTTTTGATGGAAAAACGTTCCTGTGTTAGTGTGTAGTATGTGTGGTTCGTATTTAGAGGGCGTTGCGGTGCTGTACCCAGGTTTTTTTCGTGTGGTCGAACCGGTGCGCCAGCCATTGCTGCTCCAACAACTGGAACCTGTCCTTGCTCAAGTACAGCGGCTTGCCACGTCTGAAAAAAAGACAAAATTAAACAATGTTTTGTTGTATACCGGGTGGTCCGAACTGTAATCCGGAAACTTCGGCAGAACCCAAGCAGCATTTGGACGTCGGGACAACGTTGTGTCACGCGACCAAACGTCGGGGCGCAACGTCGGCACAACCTCGTGCCAACCCTAGTCTGCACTAGTTTGGAGAATAATTTTTGGGTCGAAACGACGTTGGATACCGACGTTGGCAAGAAGCGTAATTTAGTACAAACTGCAACGTTGTTAAAATCCTAATTCACAGAAATACAAAACTAATATGGCGTCTAAGTCGCGTTTTATCCTAAATTGGGATAATTATAGTAAAAATATTATATTTATAATTTAGTTAGAGACATATGTCAGATGGCAGTGAAGGAAAACAAAACAAAAGTATTTAAGTGTGGAGGATGTTTGAAGATCATAATTATTGAAACACTTTAACCGACTCTGTAACTCGTTACCCAAGGTAAAAAGTTAAACGCAAACAACTTTATTGATAAATGTATTGTTTCTACTTTAAAAAATACTAATGGGCCTTGAAATTAAAGAAGTTTTAAAAATTTTCTTGAATTTTTTTTTTAGTAAAATGAGAATAATTTATTCGCATTCGAAAAAATTGTTTCCGCGTATTTTTTAGGGTCAAATATTTCAAGTTAATGTATTCAAAAAGCAGGAATTGCTATTTTAAGAACGAAACATTTTCTTATTTAACAACATGGCGGCTTTAACTTTGTTGTTTTGGAGATTAAGATGGAGTAGTTCGAGTAGTCGCATACTGGACTAATAAAGTCGCAGTTCGGCCTTAACAGGTAGTATACTAGTCGCAAGATTGCCTAATTTAGTCATTCTAGAGTCTAGCTTGTGCCGCCCTCTATAATCTAAATAAACGAGGAAGTGTCGGTAATATATGTCGATGTATATTTAAATTTAGTTTTATATGTACCTTTCTTATGTCCCATTTTAATTAAGTTTTTTTTTTATAAAAACAAAAACAGCACTGAACTGTCTGACTGAACAGAACAATGAATTGAAAATTTAAGATTTAAGGTTATGGTTCAATACAGTTGCAAAAAGGTAGTGACTCTACGTCCTACCAACGTAAGAATAAGGAAATCTAAACAACGTTGGAATTAGTAAAACAGACGACGTTTGCATAACGTTGGAATAGGTCCTGAAACTGACGTCGGAAAACTCTATATTATCCAACGTTGTAACTACGTTGTCCAAATCACCTAAAGATCACTTAAGCAAAAAAGGTTACAAGACAACGTTTATTCGACGTCGCAGAAGCTTCTACTTTGCTGTAGTACTAGTTCAACGTCGGCACAACGTTATAAAAACGTTTAAATTTATTTTAATACCCAAGGTAGGGAGCTAACTATTTTTTGTAACTAATCCAACGTTGTGTTTAGTAAACATGTGGTCGCAAGTCGTGAAAATGCTACTTGGGAATATTCTACAGATAAAAATATGTAAGCAAGTTCGTATAAATGTATGTCCTAAATTGCTTACTTTCGGAGAGACGGGGTGTAGAAGTATTATTTTTATTTCGATTTTTTCCAAATAATTTCTGAAGCAACGTCAATATTTGGATAAAAATTCGGATCTGACAGTTTTTTGACATGAGAAATTTGGTTTTGATATCAGTATGACTTTTACTTGTAGAGGGCGCCACCTACATATTTTTTAACTGGTTTTAATACTAATAACTTTTCGTCCGTACCTGTATAAAACTATTGAGTAAAAAAATATACATTTACGATGTTTTTTACGTAAAAAAAGTCACTTGGTAAAAATCGCGACGAGTAATGGTTTTCGAGATATTTGGAATCGATATTATCAATACTTGTCATCATTGACATAAATTAAACATGTTGACTAAATAGTTATTAGGGTGAAATCATAAATTTGAAATGTTTATGTGCCAAAACTTCAACAGAAACTGTTTTATCGTCATTTTTTTTGAAGAAAAATTGATGATTAATTTTAAAAAAGAAAAAGTTCTCAAATTTATACTTTCAATCAAATAACTATCTACGTTTTTTTGATTCTTTTCTTTGACCTCTCAAAATATATTTTATTTAATTTTTTCTTGGCTTCAAAATTTATTACTTGAAAGTAGATTTCGGCGCATTGTTTTAGTTTTTATTTTAATTTTTATTGTTTTCTTTTTACATTTTTATCATTTTCATTCTTAGTGAAGAAAATCTTCCCCTAGGAGATGCAAGACCTTGTCGTTGGTGGGGAAGCTCCCGGTCAGGTGCTGGGGGGAATCCCCCCTAGCACTTGGCTTGACTGTAGTGTCTTGCTTGACTGCAGTCCCTGACTGTAGTGTCCTGGCCAGGGAATTGCACCAAGACATATAACGATACCGGGCGGGGCTACGGACAGCCTCAACCTTGGGGCACCGGGGGGCACCCCATTGTATTTTACCCCTTACTTCTACATGCGGGGCTCTGTAGAAGTGGACCGACTGTCCCTAGCGACTCATAGGAACACTATGAGATCTGATAATAAAAGTAATAAAAACATCACCGGTGAAGCTGTGGGGAAACCCCTAGCGACACTGGGAACAGTAACAATGAAAGTTCAAGGGCCAAACCCAAAGAGAACTACAGGAGAGATGGCTGACACTTGCGTGAGACCATCCTCCGCAAGTGGCATACAAGCTACCACCTCCTCCAAGGGTCAGGGAGCCTACCTCCTACCTCTAAACCCAACAGGCGACACAAGCTACCGTTTCGTCTACCCGGCCTGGGTCGTAGCTCCTCGACTGTGAAGGACACGGGTCTCCGTAGGAAGTCCTGGGAATGTATGATGAGTTATAACTCAAGAAAGGGGGACACAATAGATCTCTAAGGTCGCAGAGATTAACCCCCCTCCCACTTATTCTAAATTCTAAATTCTAGTGAAGAAAATAATCCAATATTGGTATCAACACACACATAACATAAACATATCGATATAGTCGTCTCAATTTTTGTAAAGAGACATACACATTGAAATGGATTTTACAACATAGTGTTAAGTGTTATAAAAATGTAGAAAGAAAACAATAAAAATTAAAATAAAAACTAAAACAATGCGCCGAAATCTACTTTCAAGTAATAAATTTTGATAAAGACCCTAGCAGGTAAACGTCAATGGAATTTATAAAAAAACCGTTTTTCTCATTGTTTACCTGACCTAAAGCCAAGAAAAAATTAAATAAAATAACTATCTACTCAACATGTTTATTTTTTGTCAATAATGAGATGTATTGACTATTTCCATTCTAAATATCTTGAGAACGGTTGCTCGTATCGATTGATACCAAGAGACATTTTTTACCTAAAAAATCACGGAAATGTATATTTTTTCACTCAGTAGTTTTATACAGGTACGGACGAAAAGCTATTAATCTTCGAACCAGTTAAAAATATGTAGGTGGCGCCCTCTACAAGCAGGAGTCATATTGACATCAAAATCAGATTTCTCATGTCAAATAACTCCCAGACATTAACTTTCATCCAGGTATTGACGTTACTTCAGAAATAATTTGGAAAAAATCAAAGTAAAAATGAAACTTCTATACCCTGTATCTCCGAAAGTAAGCATTTCATAATATACATTTATGGGAACTTTTGTCCTTATTTTTATCTCTAGAATATGCTGCCGAAGTTTCTGGAATACAATTAGGACCACCCTGTATATCAGTCATAGTATTGTTTTGGAGAAAAGTTTCCTATTCATGACGAGGGATCGTTTCCTATAAATAATGTTTACCTTTATTAAAGTAATTTTTTATTTTTAGGTCTAAATAGCACAGGTTTTTTACAAAAAAAAGTGTGTGCATATTCGAAGTGAAACTGCTTACCAACATCTATTAAATTGAAGGATTTAAAAAAGCGTAATTTGAAATGTTGAAAAGTAATAAATTAAAAAAATAGTTTTTTACGTGTAAAATAACTATTTCTAAGCCGCAGGCTGTCTCGCTAGCTCGTGTGACACGGCCTTGAATTTTTACTCACAGCGCGCGTAGAGAATTTTCACATCAAAAATGTTTATGAACACAAAAGGACAGTGTTCGAAATAAAAAACAAATAAAAAAACTTACTTCAAATCTCTATCTTCCTCTTCGAAATCATCCAAATACAGGGAACCCCAGAGACAAGCCCTGTGTCCTCGGATAACTATAATATACGTGGAGGTTATGACTAAAAAGACTCCCGTGCCCATGCCGCACTCCTGCGCGTGCGCCACTGCCTCGCAGACATTTTGCTGCTTACAACAGTTCTGTTTGAGACAGACTATGGTGCCGCAGAGCAGGCATATACTCGTTTCTTGCGCTACCGAGTGACATTGACTGCAAGGTCTCTCGTGGTAGTACTGGAAATAAAAATGAGAGAAACCAGGTAACACAGCAAAAACATTTAACATAAAGGAGACTTTCAAAAAACTGTTGGCGGTAAAATTCTATCAAATAAAACTACTTACTGTGAATATTTTTTCGTATTCCCTAGGCAAGGCCAAAAGTCTTGGAGGATGCCACACGGAATGTTGATCTATTAAGAAACTCCTAGCTGCTATTTGACTTTTCGATACAAAAGATGCGAATTCGTTGCACCATAATTGCGGAGAAAACCTAAAAAAAAAATATATTATTATTATCAATGATGGGCGGGGGTAAATACCCAACGAGTAGATAAATAAAATCTGGGTATATACCTGTACATTTAGATGAACAAACTAAGTTCCTGACGATAGCATAGTAAATACCCCGGTATAATACCTGGAATATACTAGTATATATCAGGAAAATATTGTAGATATAGTCCTGATATACCGGGTGAGTCCCCTATAACTTTATTTTTTTAGATATTGTTAGTGTATGACATACGCGGCATGTTTTTTAAGTAAGTACCGTTTTGGAATTAAAAAAAAACGTGCAAAGATATCGTAATAATTTTATTTTTACATGAAAGCCTGTACCTTAATCTACTTTTCTACATAATTTCCGTGAATATTGAGGCACTTGTCATAACGTGGCACCAGTTTTTCAATGCCCTCCTCATAAAATTCTGCCGCCTGACTGGTTAACCACTGTATCACAACTGTTTTGACTTCGTTATCGTCTTGAAGACGCTGACCGCCAAGGTGTTATTTCAAGTGCAGGAATAAATGGTAGTCACTGGGCGCCAGATCAGGGCTGTATGGAGGATGATCTAGAGTTTCCCAATTAAAAGATTTGATGAGATCTTTGGTCCGATTAGCCACATGTGGACGGGCATTGTCATGCAGCAAAACAATACCCTTACTCAACTTGCCACGTCTTTTGTTTTGGATTGCACGGCGCAGATTGTTCAATATCTCACAATAAGATGCTGCATTGATTGTCTCATTGCGAGGCAAAAACTTCACTAGCAATACTCCTTTTCTGTCCCAAAAAACTGTGCACATGATTTTCCGGGCAGAAATTGTTTGCTTAAACTTCACTGTTCTGGGTGATGATGAATGTCGCCATTCCATGGACTGTTGTTTCGATTCTGGTGTGACGTAGGCCACCCATGTTTCGTCATCAGTAACAATTTTGTCTAAAAAATCTTCACCTTCATTGTGGTACTGCTCAAGGAAAGTCAATGCACTGCCTAAACGTTGGGTTTTGTGCAAATCCGTCAACATTTTCGGAACCCAACGTAAACACAATTTCCGGTAATTCAAGTTCTCGGTCACAATGCGATACAAAACACTACGAGAACATTGAGGAAAGTAGTCTCACAATGATGAAATTTGAAAGCGTCTGTTTTCTTTCACCTTTTTGTCCACTTTCTGCACCAAATCTTCATTAACGACCGAAGGACGCCCACTCCGTTCTTCATCATGCACATTTGTGCGGCCATCTTTAAATGCTCTCACCCATTTCCTTACCATTCCATCACTCATAATGTTTTGTCCGTGAACTTCACAGATCTCACGATGAATATCGATCGGTTTTACGCCTTTAGCACTAAGAAATCGTATGACAGCCAGTACTTCACAATCGGCGGGGCTCACGATTGTCGGAGGCATCTTAAACACTCAATAAACAACATATACAATGAAGAATCAGACCGTACTGGCGTCTGTGCATAGACAAGAGATGTAGGTAACCAGCGCGCATGCGCGGAACGCCGACCGTAGCGCTGCGGCGGCGGAATCGCAAAACGGTACTTACTTAAAAAACATGCCTCGTAAATTAGGATTGACTGACGTATTCAATTGTTTTTGGTCATTTCCTGTTTCACCGAAAATGACATCTTTTAATTTTTAAATGGCATCATCGGTATTTTTTTACTTTATTCGATAGAAAATGACACTCTGAATAGAATGACATATCACATGTCAACTTTTGACATTTTCGCATATGATTTATTTGAAATTGTAACATGCGGTTCATAACGACAATTTGACTCGAAATACCAAGTGTGTGGTACCAAATTATTCGTAAAAAAATGTTTTTTTCCGAATATGCTAATGAGCCACTTTTGTTCCATTTGAAAAAATTGACATATGATTAAAAACACACAATTCGGGCCTCTTTTAACCAGTCAGGACAAGACACGAAAAACATTAGACGATCAAATCTATTTTTCCAAGGCTCCTTGATTAAAAATGAGTGTTTTTAACATAGCCATGGTATTCTAGATTGAAATTTAAAATACAATTTTTTTTAAAGCGTAAATGTCAAATTTGACATATGGTATGTCCTTGTACTCAGAGTGTCATTCTCTATCGAATAAAGTAAAAAAATACAGGTTACTATTTAAAAACCAAAAGTTGTAGTCATTTCCGGTTAAACAGGAAGTGACCAAAAACAATTAAATATGTCGATCAGTCTTAATTTGTGTCATATATTAACATGCCAAATTTCGTTTTTTATGTGAAAAATAAGTTATAGGGGTGAGCCACTTTTGAGACGCACCCGGTATACTGGTATATTTCTGGTATTATTACTAATCACATTCTAGGGCCTACCAGAAACATTTTAGTATTATTATAAACAAATTTGATTTTTTTTTCAATTTTTGCTAGTGCACCACACCAACGCAATTTTTTTAAAATCAAAAATTAATTTTGTTAGGTTAGGTTTTTTTTTATCATATTCTATTGAAATTTTTTGGATTTTAAATAATATCAAGTGAATCAAAGTGTCTGTGCCAAATATTTTTGAGGGTATTATATTTCAACCCAAGAAACACGTCTATGAAGTTTCTTTCACGAATTTTTCTTTTAAAATTTGGAATTATTTTTAGTTAAAAAAATATATTTTCTTGATAATATGGCAACATGGGTAGTAGATTAAATTTACAATAAACAAAACCCAGAAAAGATCCAGTGGTTCTCAAAATTTAAACAAAAAATCATTTTTTGGAAATTTTCAAATTAAAATAACTCGGTTATTTTGGACTTTTATGAAAAACGGTAAAGAGAAAATATGTTTCTTTTATCGAGATCTACCAGCCCTGCAAATATTTACGAAAATTTTGGTAGGCCCTAAGTTAACTCACGAAATTTTGGCGTGGGTCTCATGGCCAGAACCACAGATTTTTCATCATATCTTACCTATACATATCGGTACCCTGTGGCCAATTCAGTGCTACGCTAGAGTTAAAACAATCCCAGTCCATCGACTCCGTGACCAGCTCCAAATAATACACCAAACGCACGAATTCACTCTGTGGCGTCCGGATTTCAGGCAACGACTGCTGGTATATATGAAACTTCAACAACGACGCTATCCTCAGGAAAGGCACGCACAACTTCTGAACCTGCTGCTCCAGAGCATTTATGTTCAAAGTTTTGCCACTAGTGGCGTCCTCCGCGGCTGATCCACCAGCAGTTTCGTCGTCGTCGTCCATGTAGAGGTCGGTGTGGCCCAGACACTCGTTCACTAAACCTAAGGCATCACAGAAATTCTTGATCGCCTCGCTCGAGGCGTTCGCTACGATCTTGGCTCGTTCCGAGCCGGTCAGGCCGCACGACACTTGTGTCACGACCTGGTAGTAGAGGAGGTTGTATAGCATTTGGACGGTTGTCGTAAAATAGGCTGGAAATGAAGAGAGAAAAAATTATATGTAACACTATTTCGAAGGTGTATTCATTTGAATCAAAAGCAAAGGCATGCTTTTCATACCTAGAATATGCTAAAACACTGGATTATACTTACTTTGATCTAAATGTAAGGGCAACAATAACACAAACTGTAACAATAAAGCTATGGGATCTTTCAGCAACACTGGAACCTCCATTTCCATAGGAGCCAGTGACGTAACGGGATCCTTGGGCGGCAACCCGCACAACTGCTTGAAGGTCATCCACGAGGGCCACCTGGCCATGCCTTTGGCCACCCTGGCGTGGACAGCTAATACGTGCAGTAAAGGAACTGAAAATCAATGATACACAATATCGTTACTAAAATGTCATAACGAAACGATATCTAACGAAGCGACATCTCTCGATAATGTACGAAACGACCTATAGATATTTATATGATAACTAAAAAGGCATATTCGACAAATATTCTGATGACGTAATGTTAACAGTACGAGTCATCTTACCTATGCAATCTCTCTTAGGTAACAATGGATTGGGCGGTTCCCCCGACGGTACCACCAAAGACCCGCCCCTCTGAATGAGCTCCACCTCCAGATTCGTCCGCGCGATCGACGTCACGAACAGGAACAGGCTTTGGGGAAAGGGCACGTCGTACTTCGGTTTGAACAGCGCCTTGATCTGCGTACTGTTCGACATATCCTCCATCACTTTGCCGATGGCCTCCGACATATTGGACACCACGGGTTTCTGGTCGTTGTCGTTGAGAAACTCGCTGATCTCCTCCAGCACTTGGGCCATGCTTTCGTTGGCGCGTGCGCGCACCATTTGGGATTTGTCGCCGTATTGGGGGGACAGGGGTAGGAATGAGTTGGCTAGTTGTCTGCATAGGGGGCACAAGTATTCTCCCCTGAAAAAAAAATACAAATATCTAATGTTTAAACATTTTCTACACAAAGTTATTATAGTCATCATAGTATAAATAAATACCAGAATTTTGAGTAACTTAGTTCGCAATTCTGTTATTTCAAATAGAATATTTTACTGGTAATTTACTAGGAAAAAAAAACAGAATCAAACTACAGAATGTTTCTTGAAGAAATTCAAGCAAAACAACTTTTTAGTGCCGCAGGTTGATTCTCCTAAAATTTGTTGATGGTGTGTCGAGGCTTTGCAATTTTGCCACCGCCTACTTCTTTCACATATTGTAGATTTGTGTTTTAAGTTTACAAAATGTCTTTAAAATAAGTGCAAGTATTTTAATTGTCACTATTTTAATTAAGTCACTTGCCAGTATACTATTCCGGCCTGTCTATCCAACAGTAGGCATATATCCCGTTATAATTTTATTATTTCACTAGACAGATGTGTGAAATGATACTTAAATCTCGTTTATTTCGCTATCTTATTATATTTGGCGCCCAACGTGGGGCCGCCCATGTATAACCACTTAATATTGTATAATTTTAATACATAAATGTCTGAAATAATATTTCAAACTCTTTTATTTCACTTCCTTATTATTGTAATATATTTTCACCCCAGAAAAACCCTGAAGTTTTTATTAATTGTTAAACATTTTACGCTTTTCTTAACATTTAAGTAGTGACACTTAAGAAAAATTAAAAAACTCACTTTTCTGGAGATAAAGACTGTTGTCTCTGCTGCGATCTTAACGAGGTTAGATACGAATTGAGACAGTCCAAATGTAGGTGGTGCCCGCAAGTTTGAACGTGCACGCCTCCATCCCATCCAGTGTTGATGGACAGAAACCATGATTGCTAGGAGAAAAATGAATGAAAATCAAAAGCTGTAGATGTAGATGTAGGATTGCAGACAAAGTTTGTGAAAGTTAACCTTGTTCTAGAAAACGGCGTCAAAGAAGGCTGGGAAATGACAATCGATGATAATTTTGGAGAGGTCAAGCCCTACTCTTCCTTATTTTTTAATGGTACTTAAACAAGTTGGTCTTAAGAGTTATAAAATATTTTTATATAACGAACAAAAATTATTTTTGAATGGTGTAGTTTAAAATTTGAGAAAAATATTCTTTTGGAAATAGATTTGACTTTTTTTAATTTTTCTATGATTAATACTAATTTTAGACATGTTTTATGTCAATTTTTAGTAAATTACATACTTCTAGAAAGTAACCTAGTCAAAATTATCATCGATTGTTATTCCCCAGCCTTCTTTGACGCAGTTTTTTTTCTCGATCATACGGTACATGTCTTACTCATAGAAACAGAATGGCATAATTATTCTACAAAGATTATCGGGTGTAGGGATTTAATAGTTTGATATATGCTTAGGTACAAAAAAAAACAGAATGAAGTTAGTGAGTTAGCTTACCGGATTGAAATGCATGTCGAATTCCTCAGCTCTTCTGTCCATTTCCGCTGCCAAAATATCGTCTTTCCTGAGTTGTTCTTTTTCGTCATCACAAGTAGGCAATGTGGCTCTTTCAGGCTGACCGTACCGCCTTCTATGACCTATAACGCTGGTAGCCTGAATTAAAGCTACCAAACCCATAGGTTTTTCTTCAGTACTTGGCGAGCTATACCCAACAAAACAGTTTCAACTGTATTATTTACAGCGAAAATACCAAATTTCAAAAAAAAAAGGATTCTAATAATTACCTTATGTTACATATAACGCAGTCGTATTCTTGTTTGCTGATAGGCAACGCGCTGTGCTCCATGTTTTCCGCGTTCTCTTCAGTCTCCATTTTTTCCTGTTCGCGTTTCCAGAACTCGTTTTGCTTTTTGGTGAACTCCGCCATCAGTTTTTGCTATTTAACAAATTAAAGAACATAATTATCTATTACTGTACAAGACGGCTATACAGGAATCATCAAAAAAGGTACAATAAACCAAAATTTTTAGTTATTTTACAGAAAAAAATCATATTTTTATACAGGGTATCTGATAATATTGTTAACCAGGGTTGTTTAAAATACCATTACTTGTTTTAAATATTACACTACACAATGTAGTTTAAACAGAGTTTAAAACAATAAAAGCTGTTTTAAACAATAAAAAACTTATTTTTTTTTGTTGCCCACTGTATGTTACCAACATATATTCTATAAAATGAATAACTTTGAATTTTGACCGTTATTTTTTACCAACATGGCAAATATAAAATCCCTCTGTCAAAAAAGTTGCTAATATTCTTTTTAATTGAGTGCCTGAACGAATCAGATAGGTAACTCTTTTTACTTTAGTGAAATAGAAAAGGAAAATAATATAACAAGTGAGAGTTCTTCCTCTTCTTGCAAAAATCAACACGAAATGTCATATTTGTCAAAAGTAAAATGTCATCAGGTTTTGACATTTCTAAATATCAGACCAATGCCGTCTCTAATAGAACAGCCTCGGAGCGAGATTTATGACGTCACGCTAGTTAGATACTACGGATTAATAAATATGTTGTAGAATACATGGAAAACAATTATTCCTCGTATTTTTGGTTTGTATTTTAAAAATTATATAGTTTACATGAAATATACATAATATACAGTTAATAAATACAATATATGTACATATTCACAGTAATAAATACTTTGACAAATATACTATGAACCATACAAATGCAGCAAATGTTTTACAATGTACAAATAATGAATAAGTAGGTACATAAGACAATGGGTAAAATGTTATATATTTTAAATTTTGGGGTTTGAAAATCGATCTAATTTAACAAAAAACATTCAATATCTACTAATAGTCATGTATTGTTTATTAATGCTCAAAAAATTATATTTGCAAATAATACAATATCATAGAAAAAAAGGCGTCAGCGATGGCACGAAATAAAGATCGCTATCATTTTATATGTAAAATTATTCTAAAATTTTTGATTTTCTTGGGATTTAGGTTCGGGAAAAACGCTGATTAAGTTTTCATTTGGTTTTTCATTATTTTTATTTGGTTTAAAAAAACGTTTCGGCTAACATTATAGCCTTCATCAGTGTTGTGTCATATGAAAAAAATAGTGTCGAATATAATCCAAAAAAATACATATCAAATATTCACACCACACACCACATAATGTTTACTGTAATTAATAAACTAATATAAACTTGTCAAAAGAGGACCACATATTTTTTAAAATTATTATTTTTAACACTAAAACTATCTACATTGACTATGGAGTACGATTTCAGCCATATTGTAAAACATTTGCTGCATTTGTATGGTTCATAGTTTATTTGCCAAATTATTTATTACTATAATATATTATTACTGTATATTATGTATATTTCATGTAAACTATATAATTTTAAAATACAAACCAAAAATACGAGGAATAATTATGTTTTCCATGTATTCTACAACATATTTATTAATCCGCAGTATCTAACTAGCGTGACGTCATAAATCTTGCTCCGAGGCTGTTCTATTAGAGACGGCATTGCGTCAGCATGGCCGCAAGTTGCTAACCTAATAAAATTAACACTAGAAAAGCCCGCGTGAACTGTCAAATTCAAAGTTATTCGTTTCACAGACTATACCTGTCTCTCTTTGGCTCTTCTCCGTCTTTCTTCCCGCTCTCTATTCTCCCTCATTTTCTTCGCTTTCTCATTCTCTTCCTGCGAGGGCCACAACTGACCTCTAGTCTTTTGAATATACCTGTTACAACCCGAGTCGGACATCGCTATTTTCTTCAACAATTTTCCCACGTAGAACGTACCATCGCCGCATGGTACCTAAAACAATTATTTTTTTCTAGTACGAGCGATCCACGAAAAAAAAAACGGCGTCATGGTAGCCTCTCCAATAAAAAAACATTTCAAAGGTTACTGTGACGCATTTTTTTTCGCGACCGTACGGTTTTCAATCGAATGACTTACTTTATCATCTCCGGCAGCAAAATAATCGATCTCATCGTCATCGGGGTCGAAACTGTCAGGTATTCCTGACAGTTGAGAGTGTAGTTTTAACAACAAGGATATGATGCTTTCGTTTACTTCTATCGATGGCTGATCTTCAGGAAATTCCTGAAATAATATATCTCTCACTGTAATTTATTCTTTATTATGAAGGACTTTGATTGTAAGGAGTTCTATACTAGTTATACAGTTAATACCAAATAAACTTTTAGTCACGTCCATAGACAAACTAACAAAAGCAAGACTTTTCAAAGGATTGAGGAAGTCGAATTATTGTTTTTGCGCTGGCCAGTTGAGTCAGAAATCATCGCGCAGTCGCACTCGTCAAACCTAACCTAAATAAAACGAAAAACGTTTTTGCCTTGAACCATCCTTGAACGAACTGTTGAATTCCTGATTTTGCGTTTTGTTTGGTTATTACTATTATTTTATTAGCGTACAAAACGAAAACAAATAATTTAATACATTTTACATTTATGAAGAACATAATAATTACTGTGATTATACATATTATTGTGATTACATCGCTAACGTAGACAAAACGAAGGTCCTACAAATTGACTGTAAGTTATAAGAATCTCTATCTTTTTAATCTTTTTATGATTTGAATTTTCGTGCTTTATATTTTATAATAGACTCGAAATGTTAATATTTTTGCAAATTCTTGTGAAAATGTGAAGTTTATGTTTTTGTTTTATATTTGAAAAAGTTGTATATTTTTAAGATGTTTCTTGTTGTTCCTATTATTAATATTATAATATACATAATCATTTTTTTGTACCTTTTGAAGAATAATGCTTTTATTTCGTTTACCATAACTGTTGTTTTTTTATCATTTTTTTTGTTATTTTAATAAGAGGAATACGTTTTCGTTTATTTAACTTTTGTTTTTATATCTGTTATGTCCAGAAATTATTGTTTATTTTACCGATGGAAATAAATTTATTTGATTTTAATAAACGCTTTTTAATTAAACATCCTTGTCTAAAAGGCTACTACAAAATACACAATCCATAAGTAAACCGTCCTCGTCTAAAAGGCCAGTTGACGCAAGCGCGGTAATAAACTCTTATCAAACTTGTTACCGTTTTGCAGTACAGCGTTGACGCGTCTTGCTTTTGTTAGTTTGTCTATGGTCACGTCATTAAGCTTGACCGGCACAGCGTTGCCCACTTTTGCATATTTTCTTTTAATCAAAATATTTTAGGAAACACAAATAAATTATTTATAAATATATAAACAGTTATTATTTACATCAACAAAACCCACCTTCGTAACAGCACTTAAGGGACATAACGAGCCATTACTATCGCCACAGATTAGGTATCCTATAAGTATACAGATAAAAATCTTGTCCCTAATTCGTGGTACGAAAATTGTTTTTTTATGACGATGAGCAAACGAGTAAAATTTCCAGTGCGCAAAAATAAACTCGCGTAAAATAACAATAAACAACGTAATAGAGAGATATCGCTAAACCGAATAGCGTGCATGGACGTTAATAAGGCCAGGTGTTATTTCCTTTACGTGAGGTGGTATTAACTCTCTTCATTTATAGTTATCGGATCGGAAAGAATTCTGTTCACGGCACGTCCGCTATTCAAACTTAACCTAACTTTGAATTTAAAACTTTGAAATTGTTTTGTTTACTAGGTATTTTAAAACTAAAGGGCTAAAGTGCTTATTTCCAGTGCTTTATTGTTCAACGTCTGCCAGTGGGTCTAGAGCAACAAATAATCTTAGAACGGCTAAGTCGTCATCTGCTGTAAACCTAAGCCTCTTTATAGGTTCTTTAATATTGGAAGAGGTGGAATCCATATTTTGGGCCATATTTATTTAATTAAAACTAATCCCAGCTACTTAAATATCAAATTACCTAATAAAAAAAAAGTAATAATTCAAAACAATTCAAACATAACCTAAAATAAAAGATCTCGCCGGCCGGCCCCTGTTGTCAAATACCCGCACATGCCCATTTAAGCAATTTTCAAACGTTTTTAGAAATAGCGCTTGGTATAATTAATCCGCAAATTACGTCAGGCGGTAACGTTATTAGCGGGTGTTGCGTTAAAAATTGACTCGCGCATATCGTAACCATGATAAGGTACGCGTAAATACTGTATGACGCTATTCGGTTTTCCGATATCTCTCTAATAACTGTACCGGTCAGGCGCTGTGCACAATTTTAGAGGCCATAAGTGGGCGTGCTCTAGTAACCTAACTAGTGCCCAATTCCGAAAATTGGAACCACGAAAAACAATAAAGAAAAAACAAAGTTTATAATCTGTATAATCTGTGCTACCGCTTTCCCGATCAAAATATTCTAATAGAGTTGCGATGAGTTTTTTACGGCTATTAAGCTATCTTGTAAACTTCGCACTAAAAGAGGTTCTAAAAAGAACAATGTTCCATTGCAAGGTCTGCTAGTAAACATTTTCAAGCTTAAAGTATCAAAACCCTATTTATTTAAACCTTTGAATAAGAAGACTAAGGAAGGAGCATATCAAAAATCTTAGGTACACCGCGATTGGCCTCAAATATGGCCGACTTATATTCCGGTTTATCAGTGTCGTTCTAATTTTATTTAAAAAATGTAAAACTATGATGTAGAGTAGACGTGGGGTAGACTCAATAATTTGTTGTTTTATTTTACGTTGTGAATAAATGTTGGTAGTTATTAAAATTGTTATAAAAATATATAATTCTAATAAAAATAGATAAGTTATAATAAGTATTTATTACCACAAACATCCGATACGCTACTGAAGCAGATAAGTCAAATTAACGTATCTAAATTCTTTGACAAGTAATAAATAAAAGCTAAAATGCAAGAAAAATATATAATTTAGTTAATTTAAGTGAATTACATAAATGATCGGTTTACTACACGTATGTATATTATATAGTCACTTACTAGCGAAAAGTTGTTCCATTATTTCACTCAATTTTTGCGGAGATCTACCGCACGCTACAGAACCAACTATTTCAGAGTCTTTTTCGATAAATCGCGATAGTGTCACTGTTAATTTAAGTGCTGCCACAATTTCCATCTAGATTTACTACCTTTATACATAACATAAGCTCCATAAAGACTGACAAATACAGAAAATTTCAAATCAAATTCAAATGTGTCAAATGAATCGTCAAACAGAACTGTCAAGGATCCCCACCCTAGAGTGCTTTTTCCGCCCACCATGCATGAATACATAGATAGCATTATGCTGCTTCCTTAGTCTTCTTATTCAAAGATTTAAACCAAAAACTCGCAATACAAAACTAAAGTGTCAAAACGAATGACAACGTCAGGAAATAAATAAATAAACGCGGCAACTTGACATTTTTTATAGCAGAGCTACCACCTGAATCCCCAGCGCCAAATTTAAATTCCAGTTAGTCAGCACGACGCCGAATATGACCATGGTTGGCAACAATGGATTTAAAAATCGCGCCCTCGATTACGTAACTAAAAGTCTAATTGATATCAAATATAGTAGAGTAATTTCTTGCAAAACCTGTATAAAACTTACCCCAGGTGGCAATTTCCTCGTCTTGTACGGGGTTTTCTTCCTAAACCCGTGAGACGTCGAAGGCAAAGCTTTGGTTTTCGATAGATCCCTCCTCCTTTGGAACAGGTCAGACAGCAATTTGCTCGGTCCTAAAAATTAGTTCAAATGAACCGCGGACGTGTATAAGTCTGTTCGAGAATTATGCAACTACCTGCTTTGGACTTGACCATTTCCGTGCCCGCCATCAACGCCGGAAGGTAAGCAGGTGATGGTAGGGCTTGTGGCGCTGGTGCGTGGTCAGAATTAGATAGGGCAGTTGTAACTAAACAGGAAAAAAAACAAATATTTTTTTTAATATAAACCTTAACGGATACAGTTCACTAAACTAGACGTTCTTCTCGATAAAAACCATTTCTTATTACTTCACACTTGATAATGGTCAGTGATATTTCTGACCGAAACGTTGTGTAAATAAAATAATAAAGACGATTTTTTATATATTTTTTTCCATACATAGGAGGCGTTTCGGAAAAAATAAGAAGGATATAGGAAAACAATATAACATACGAACATCTTTCAAAACCTTTGAATAAGAAGACTAAGGAAGGAGCATATCAAAAATCTTAGGTCCACCGCGATGGGCCTCAAATATGGCCGACTTGAATTCCGGTTTATCAGTGCCGTTCTAATTCTATTTAAAAAATGTAAAACTATGATGTAGGGTAGACGTCGGGTAGACTCAATAATATGTTGTTTTATTTTACGTTGTGAATAAATGTTGGTAGTTATTAAAATTGTTACAAAAATATATAATTCTAATAAAAATAGATAAGTTATAATAATTATTTATTAACACAAACATCCGATACGCTACTGAAGCAGGTAAATCAAATTGACGTATCTAAATTCTTTGACATCTAATCTTTGACAAGCAGTAAATAAAAGCAAAAATGCAAGAAGAAATATATAATTAGTTAATTTAAGTGAATTTCATAAATGATCGGTTTACTACACGTATGTATATTATATAGTCACTTACTAGCGAAAAGTTGTTCTATTATTTCACTCGATTTTTGCCGAGATCTACCGCACGCTACACAACCAACTATTTTAGAGTCTTTCGATAAATTGCGATAGTGTCACTGTTAACTTAAGTTCTGCCACAATTTCCAACTAGATTTACTACCTTTATACAACTATCAGTAGTAGAATAAATAATAAATAACATAAAATAAGCTCCGTAAAGACTGACAAATCCAAAAAATTTCAAATGTGTCAAATAAATCGTCAAACAGAACTGTCAAGGATCCCCAGCCTAGAGTCCTTTTTCCGCCCACCATGCATGAATACATGGATATCTTTATGCTACTTCCTTAGTCTTCTTATTAAAAGTTCAAAACAGAAAATACACTTAGTTCCATTTTATCACATACTAAACCAATGAATACAGAACAACAAACAAAAAATGTAATATACCAAATACCATGTGAATGCGATAAATTTTACAATGGTGAAACATCTAGACCCTTAAATGTTAGAATTAAAGAACATAAAGATTATTTAAGTAAGGGAGATTTTCACAAATCTAAGATTTGTCAGCATACTTTGTTACTTACGTTGATTGGCTAAAGCTTTCATTCCAGGTAGAGCCACTCTCATATCATCCACTTCCATGGGTTCTGTAGACGGAGCAGACGGTAATGCCAAACAACCGGAAATTATTTCTACAGGAGACTCGGGAACGCTTCGTTCTTCATCTGAATAAATAAAGAAAACAGTATATATCATAAAATATATAACATAACGCAAGTATCTTAATTAATAATAAACTGACTAATTCTCTTTATGACCTTACCGACGGAATTTGAAGATCCTGTATACAGTATCATGTCCATCAAATCGTTCCGTGACGTATCTCCCGACTGACGCCGTTGCTCAATCATCAAAGGCTTCGGTCTGCGTGAAGCTTCATCTTCGGCAGGCATCACAACGTCATCTGAATCGGATGAATTCAGCTCATCCTCTCCTAAATCGCCTTGAAAAGTTAGATTTTCTCGTGTAACACTTTTATTTTATTTCTTGATTCAACGATAATACAAAAAGAAATACTAAAATACCGTATATGATCGAAAAAAAAACGGCTCTCTACTGCTGCTGCTAATGCTGTAGTTTAAAATTTGAGAAAAATATTTTTATTCCCCAGCCGTCTTTGACGCCGTTTTTTTTCGATCGTATGGTACTAAAATACATTCAACTCACTTTCAGGTGAACTGTACACTATGGGGGTTGGAGCTATGTTGGGCACGGTAGTGGGAAATATGACCTTGGGAATGACTGTTCTGAAGTTGTCAAACACGTAACCTGTTTGGAACCAATTTGACAGGTCTCCGTCAACAATCTGGTGATTTTTGTTGGATTGTGTTGGTGAACATAGTTTCGAATACTGAAATTGAAAAAATATACCTATACAATCCATAAAATAAGAATTAAAAAAATACTCAATGTTTTGGTAATGTGACATATACAACATTCAACGATCGCTTGCCGGTATAGTATATACGTATCACATGTATAACCCTTTATAATTTTAATATTTTAATAGATAGATGTGCGAAATAATGCATCAATCTCTTTTTTTTCACTTCCCTATCATGTTTGGTGCCCAACGTGGGGCCGTACATGTTGAATAACGGCTTATAACGGCTTATAATTGTATTATTTTAATAGACAGAAGCGTGAATGTGTGTGAATTAATACTTCAGACCATAGACTTAAAATAAAATATAGACTACACTATTTACATCTCAACGCGGTCAAACAATTTTATTTGTACACATGTTTACTTCTGGGTACAGTCGACCGAGCCTTCCTCATCCAGCCTATGTTGTCACGTCTTTAATATTATCAATATTTTTTTTCTTGTTATACACATATATTGAGATATTAATACTACAGTTTAATAAAGTAGGTTTTAATATTCCATAGATGTATTGAGTAGTCCTTATACTACTAAATTATAAGTCGGATACTGTTTAAAAAGGATAAGTTCTTTACAATATGACAACACCGATTAGAGGCGAGGGAGCCTATTCATTCATTTATTACCTTGTAGTACGCGTCGCACGTGTGCGGTAATGCTTAGTTGCCGCTATGTCCCCGGCTGTATTAACGCATTTTCTTAGCTTGTAGTCCTTAAGTGTTTATATTATTGACTTTTTCTGTTCAAGAACTATAAAATATGGTTCGCCAGTGTCAAATTTGCAAGAAATTTGACTGAAATAATCCATTTAAATCTTGAAACGACTTTCGACCGGTAGGCAACTCTCAATTTACCCATTAGGAGTCAGTGGCGTTGTTGTAGAAAGGCGCTTATTTAGATAATATTTTAGTAAAATGTAAAATCTGAATTTTTTCTCTTACGTTACATTATTTACTTACTTACATTGTCACAAAATCATAATTATAACCCTGTTAATAATTAATAATGTTTTTATTAAAAATATATTCCGGTTTATTCTAAAATTATCTTCAGAATCTAAAATAACATACAAGAATTTTAAAATTATATTACATTATGAAACAATATTTTTTAATATACCGGGTCGTCTCAAAAGTGGCTCACCCCCTATAACTTTTTTATTTTTTCAGATCAAAAAAAAACAGATTTGTATGTTAGTAGGTATATGACATAAATTAGGATTTATTGACGTATTCAATTGTTTTTGGTCTCTTCCTGTTTCACCGAAATGATTACATCTTTTGATTTTTAAAGGCACCCTCGGTATATTGCTACTTTATTCGATAAAAAATGACACTCTGAATAATGACATATCATATGTCAACTTTTGACATTGTCGCTTAAAAACAAATCGTATTTTAAATTTCAATCCAGGGTGCCATGGTGTTGTTAAAAACACTAAGTTTTAATTAAGGAGCCTTGGAAAAATAGTTTTGATCGTCTAATGGGTTTCGTGTCTTGTCTAGGCCGGTTAAAAGATGTACAAATCGTATTTTTAATCATACATATGTCAATTTTTTCAAATGGAACAAGGGTGACTCATTAGCATATTTGGAAAAAGCATTTTTTTATGAATATATTGATACCACACACTTGGTATTTCGAGTCAAATTGTCGTTATGAACCCCGTGTTACAGTTACAATTAAACCATATGCGAAAATGTCAAAAGTTGACATATGATATGTCATTCTATTCAGAGTGTCATTTTCTATCGAATAAAGTGGAAATATACCGAGGGTGCCGTTTAAAAATTAAAAGTTATAGTCATTTCCGGTGAAACAGGAAGTGACCAAAAATAATTGAATGCGTCAATGAATCCTAATTTATGTCATATACTAACATACTAAATCTTGTTTTTTTATTTGAAAATATAAAAACATTATGGGTATGAGCCACTTTTGGGACGTACCCGGTATAGTAAAGACAGTACCGAGTTAAATAAATGTAGTTTTCATTTTATCCACTTCCTATCACCTTCCTTGCTTTAATGGAACAGATTTATGTTTTCTCTAATTTACATAATAAGATATCACTTAACCAGAAAAAAATTACAACAATCATATTTTTTTTTCTCTCCCTGTCGCCGATTCTATTATATCTGTGGAATAGATCCTGTTTTGATTAATATTAGGGGTTGTAAATGTTTGACTAAAATTAATAATTTATTATTAATTTCAAAAATTACGTAATTTCGATTATAAAATTTCTTCTATAGCGTGTATTTTATTATTTTTATCCTTTTTGGACGCTAAGATGTTTTGTCTAAACTTTTATTTAAAAAACCTGTCCTAAATCTTAATAAAATATAAAAAAGTTTAAATACGACATATTTTTAATTTAATTATAGCTTCATTAAAATAAAAAAATTACCCGGCCATGATACGGAGAGTTCAGGTGTACTTGAGAAATGAAAGACAGTGTTGTGTTTCTCGGCAGAGTCGTCAGGGAACGACCGTTACGATAGAGACAACCTATCTATCGCTCGTGTCGCACTCGTTATAACCTAAAACAATAACACAACAATAACAAGACAGTGTCTGACCGCATGTTCCAGCTATTTATGAATGAGATGCTCAGTCTATATTTTATTTTAGTCTATGCTTCAGACCCTTTAATGTCACTTCCCTGTTATAGTAATATATTTCAACACTTTTAATCCCAACTAAATGCTATTTTTTATCGGATTGCCGTCAAATACTTACCGTGTCCTTAAAATCTATGGTCATGTTGACGGCCTGCTCGAGCAAGAACACTATAAGAGCCATCACGTGTTCTGAGACCACGCCTTTCACTGCTTTGTACAAAATAACAAAAGCCATGGCATGGAACACCTTCCACGTTAAAATATGTCTTGGATCGATGTAATTGTCGCCGACTTTAGCCGGTGTTCTAAAAGGTGGCCAGGGAATCACACCGGGTTTCAGTTTGTTGTTTTGCCTACAACTAATTGAAGAAAAGAAAATAAATGTATTATTTTTTTTGTAGAGGTCAGGACTTACTATTCTGTATATCTATCTATGGAGTTTTGGAAGTCTCGCCTGTGCACAGCCCTGAGCAGTACGTGGATGGGGTCGTAATGGTTCTCCCACACGCTGGCCTTTGGTACGTACATCCCTTGTTGCATGTTACCGCTAGCTTCAAGAGCTGGTGCCCTGTAATCTGCACATTCAGCTAAGAGAGCTTCGAAGTCTCTACTCTGAGTTCCACACCTGAGAAATTTGGTATAAGCGGAATTAATTGATAATAAATATAATAAGAAGAAAATAAAATAGTTCTATGTTCTGTATAGTAGCATACATCCGGTATGCTGCTAAACAGAACATAGACATGTCAAAGAGAAAGACAGAGACTATGTATATACAGTTGCCACTGGAACTTTTTTGTGTTACAACAGCAAAATAAAACACCAATATTCACCACAATACAATGCAGTTAGGGTTTCAGAGAACTACAACATCTAGATTAGAGATTTTTTGCACATCATTGTTTCACAAAGAGATCTATCGATTAAAAATATTTTCAATATGGCGGCACTTCCGGAAATACCGGAAGTTCACAGCAACTTTCTTATTTTAAATGAGTACCCCATTTTTTATTACATTATTAAATTCTCGGTAAAATTTTATGAATGCGATATTGAACTCTCTATATCTAACATTAACGGTTTTTCAGAAGAAAAATATTTAAAATTTTTGGACGAAAAAAACTGCCTGTCATAAAAACTATCATAAATAATTTTTTTTTCAAATGGAAACCCTCTTTTTATTTCACTAGTGAAAAGGTTTTTCAATTCGATACTTTTTGACTATACATCGTTTTTAATTTTAGATTCGTTATAAAACGTATATTTTTCTTGACAACATATACAAGCAAAATGTACACAAACTGTTTGTTTATTTACAGTTTGATATTTGCATATTTTTTATAGGTAAAATATTGAAAATATAGTTGATATTCCTACAAACTATACTGTACCTTTCAGGCATCAATTCCATTAATTGTGAATGCGTCTTGTCACCCATACACAGAAGAGTTACCATTTCTAATCTATTCAGAACTGTATCCGGTAAACCTGGCAAAATTAAGAAAATTTTCAGTAAAAAAATGATTTATTTTAAAATTAAATTTACCTAAGTTGGTCCTCACGCTGACCAAAGTAGCTAAAAACATTAGGCAGCTTTCCAGCATAGGCGTATCAGGATCACCCTTGAAAAGGGGGTTTTGTGGTGATCTGAACGGTCCCAAATTCATAAATTCCTTAATGTGGAATCTAGAAAGAAAACACAAACATATATACTTAATACATATACATAAAATATGTATACATTTATGTATATTATTTCGTATATTTTTCATTTTATTGATTTTATGGAAAGCACTGTTCATTAAAATGTTGTATCCTATGTTATAGGGCTTGTTTCTCTCTACAATTTCCTGTCTCACAATGTACCTTTTGTGTCCGGGAAGGGTTCATAGTTTCATAGTTGTCGATTTTCGAAAGAAATCAGTACATGTATATTATTTCTTATATATTTCATTTTATTGATTTTATGGAAAGCACTGTTCATTAAAATGTTGTATCTTATATTATAGGGCTTGTTTCTTTCTACAATTTCCTGTCTCACAATGTACCGCTTGTGTCCGGGAAGGGTTCATAGTTTCATAGTTGCCGATTTTCGAAAGAAATCAGAACACGTATATTATTTCGTATATTGTTCATTTTATTGATTTTATGGAAAGCACTGTTCATTAAAATGTTGTATCCTATGTTATAGGGCTTGTTTCTCTCTACCCTTTTGTGTCCGGGAAGGGTTCATAGTTTTATAGTTGTCGATTTTTGAAAAAAATACATAAAATTTCTTGAAAGAAAAAATTAGGTTTTTTTTATACCTATTTTGAAAAAAATATAGTAAAGTAAAAACTATATACTGATGAAAAATGACTTACTGGTCGATAACCATGTTGATGAATCTGTCAGTGTTAACTCTGGTACAACAGATCTGCAAAAGATAGAGGTCCGCATCTACCATGGAGTTGCAGAAGTTGCACTGGATGTACGTCATTGCTTGACCCTTGATTTGTAGTCCGTTCCTAACCCATAGACCGTTCAAAATTTCATAAAAAGCAACCTGTAATAAAGAGAAATATTTAATTTAATATTTTTATAACAAAAATCGAGAAAATGATCATTAATAATCATTTTAAAAGCTAACGTGACGTTTTTTTCTCGACTATACAGAATGTGAGTAACATAGGAGGTGGCAACATTGCAAAGCTTGTTGAGAAAACCGTTGAGAAATTTCCGGAAAATCTAATTTTTTAAATTTACTAGAAAATGTCAAGAAAAATGTCAAATATTCGACAATTTTATGACAAAAAACAATTCTAGGTGTTAAAGACACCCTATATAAACATGAATAATTTAACGTGCTTCTATGTAATTGGATAACTTTGAAAATTGGAGGCTTATACGTGACTTTTAGATGAATAACTTATAAATGAAGAAAAATTTGTAATAAAATACATCGTTTGTTATTTACACACTTATCTTAGTGCACAAACGATACTAAACATTCGCACAAAAAATACCAAAAATATCAAATCATATTATACTACTTATTGCACAGTTAGCCTGGGCCAAGATGTCAAGAAAAAAAATATATAAACTTTGAGTACTTTATTTTTTAAATGCCGATACCACTGGCTTCAAAAAAATATAAAAATTAAAATCGCCGACGTACAATTGGGGTCTCTACACAAATTAAAAAAAAAAACTTTTTCAACCAAAATAAAAAGCGCGCAAAAAGTTTTGTTAATAATAAATAACGACCATAATCACCAAAAGGTATGCTTACTGCTGCCCCCCTCCCTGTTTCTAAATCCAGGAGGTTGGGTCTCTGAACAAATTTAAATAAAAATAGACCTAAATAGAGATCTAATGGAAAAAGCAAAAAAAATCACTAAAATATTAGAAAAAAAATATACAAAAAAAAACTACAAACTAACAATTAAGGAAGTACAATTAATAACTTTAACACACACTGAATTTAGACTAAAAAGGAAGAAAACAATTAGGTACTAGCTATAAGTAAATAAATAAATTTTAAACATGGTTACTGTTGTAGGAAGCAACACTCCTAAGGAGATTTTTTTGATAGTTTTTTGATCTCGTATTTGAATTAAAGTTTTTTGAGAACAACTTAAAGGAATGATGCACCTGCTCTGAGGCTTGCTCAGAGTAAAAGCCCAATGCTTTCTGTGAAATACTAACAAAATCCACTATATGGTGAACAACAGCGTGAATTTTTGGAGTAAAACTGATTTTCGTATCTCTTATTTTGTCGGAAAATTTCAGTATATAGGCTTCGTAATTGGTATCAATATATTTTCCAAAACAGCTGGCTACCACATCATTGAAGGCACAAAATACCTCTATGTATTTGTTGTCTAAAAAAAATAAGCAAAGGGCTTAGTGTCCAAATAACAATAATAAAATAAAGTTTTGTTACAAAGTAAGTACCAGGATCTAGTGCTTTAAGGACGTCAACTTTTTTAAGCAAGTTTCTGGCATTATTTCCATTAAATCTGCTGTAATGGTGTAATTGTATCCCAGTACTTTTAGCCAGCTTTCAGCAATTTCCGGAAAGTACTTTTTTAGAGAATCGTATATTTTTTGTACAACTCCCATCTAAATAAATATATAGTTGATAATTGGAAAATCGTCATCACCGGTTATTAAAGGAATGTTGACACAATTCTCTAAAAATTTTAATTAAAATTTGCAAAAAATAACTATTAAAAAAGTCAATAAAGTAAACTTAGCAGTACACTTACTGTACTTTTTTGTGTCTTTTAAATTTCCATTTTGGAAATATCTTTTATGGATCTTAGTTCTCCCCTTGACTGTAAATTTTTTGAGTTAACATCACACAAGGCACATGGATGGCATGATGATGAAGATTGAAGGCCTAATATAATCATTATCAACTTTAGATCTGCGGCAAATGTGTAAGAACTGACTCGACAAATAGTATGGAGTTGCAAAATCTCAAACATTGCTCTGATATTTTTGTAGGTTTCTATTATTTTGGGAGCCGATTCTATTATAATAAGTTTGTTTATTCCGGTACTTTTATGTGTTTCTTGTTTTATTTCGGGATTTTCGTAACAACATAAAGACAGACAAATTTTTAAAGATCCACCTCCACTATCTATGCCCAGTTTTAAATGGAAATCAGGGTATTTCCACCTGGCCAGGCAGGCAAATTGGTCAAAAAAAAAGGAGTGTTGCTTCCTACAACAGTAACCATGTTTAAAATTTATTTATTAACTTATAGCTAGTACCTAATTGTTTTCTTCCTTTTTAGACTAAATTCAGTGTGTGTTAAAGTTATTAATTGTACTTCCTTAATTGTTAGTTTGTAGTTTTATTTGTTTACTAATACTTATGATCATAAAGTAAAATTTTATCACTAAAATATTAGAAAAAAAAATATTTTTTTGCTTTTTCCATTAGATTAAAGTCTATTTTTATTTAAATTTGATCAGAGACCCAACCTCCTGGATTTAGAAACAGGGAGGGGGGCAGCAGTAAGCATACCTTTTGGTGATGATGGTCGTTATTTATTATTAACAAAACTTTTTACGCGCTTTTTACTTTGGTTGGAAAAAATTTGGTTTTTAAATTTGTGTAGAGACCCCAATTGTACGTCGGCGATTTAATTTTTATATTTTTTTGAAGCCAGTGGTATCGGCATTTAAAAAATAAAGTACTCAAAGTTTATATATTTTTTTTCTTGACATCTTGGCCCAGGCTAACTGTGATTGTATTTTTAATTAGGAAAAGTTAAATAACTATATAAAACACAGAGTTGCTTAAATTTTTTTCTTTATTTCATCATATAGTGGTGTAAAAATGTTTTAAAAAATATACATAAAAAATAAAAAAATGAGTATAAAATAGTTTCCTTAGTTATAATGCCATCACTATACAGTACACTCTCCTGTGATTACCCTAGCATCAAATTTCCAAAATACTTATAAACAAGTATCAAAATCATCAAATTTTTCCGTTTATATTTAATAAGATCATATAATAAGTCAAAATAATATACATACTGCAATAAATTAAATTTAAATCAAAGATAAAAATTAAACACATTTTTATTTGATGGATTTTCGATTCTTAGTTATAATACCACGACTATAAAACTCTTTGGAACGTTCCCCCGTATCGTTACTGCGGTACGACCGCGGCGTTGCCAGACGTGGTAAAGTTTCTTCAAATTTAATTTGCCTTTAGAGAAAATAAATTTTTTTGGATATGATCAAAAATATTTCATTAGGCGATACTTATAAAATACAAATGTGTTTATTGCCAGGAATTACGTTTCATAAGTAAATAAACAATTGATTTTCACACTCAATCAATGTAATCAAAATGACATTAAGCTTCATACTTCAGTCATTTTATTCTCTTTAATTTTGCTCTCTTCAAATTTTTGCGAAAAACGCATAGTTTTCGAGATAATGAACATAAAACATAACCTCTTATGGACGAATACGAATATTAGTAATTAGTATAGTACTATTAGTAGTATTCTTTCGTTCTGAACGAACTGAAAATTTTCACTTAAACTGATTTATAAAGGGAATCGACAAAGAAAGGAACGGTCCGATATAGAAAAATCCAGAAATCATTGTTATTTCCTATACATTCCTTTCTCATCTCACCGAACGGTTCATTTGCATCTCACCCAAATTTCACCGAACACCTGCCGAACACTAAAATTAATTTCCTTCTTTTATCTAAATAATTATTGATTGCAACTGATAAAATAAAAAGAAATACGAACCGCACGTAAACAAGGACATACTTATATCGTTTTAGAAGAAGCTTTTTTTTTAGATATGAGCTTTTCAGTAGGAATTGAAACAACCATAAACTCGGCACTTTTAAATTTAAAACTTTAAATTATGGTTTAATTTATTAAACGGCTTCGGCACAGTTAATAGAATACATTGAATAAAGAATTTTTTTTTTAAATTTTTTATTCAGTGATAGAATATAGGTATGGCAATGGTTCAGAATTTGTTTAAAATAGCCCCTAGACGAGCACTAGCTGGGACGAATTTATTTTTAGGTTAAATTTATAATACTACTAAATAATTCGAATTATTAATTCGATTGCGAAATATGAATTATTACTAATTATTCGATGGTGAAAATAATTCGATTATTCCCATCACTAGTTAAGAGTGACAACGTGACAACAGAAAAAATCAGGAAATATTTTTCGTCGACCTGGCAACGCCGGTACCATTTCCATCGGTACATTCGGTAGACAGAGAAGAAAGAGGTTTTGTATTTTGTCGCAGATGTGCGGCAGTTCGCGAGGTGTTTGCTCCTGGTAGCCACACCATAATATTCTCTAAATATAACCATTCCTTGTTCCTTTCTTTCAATTCACCTTGAAGCACGCGGTTTTCAACAAGTAAATCCGGCCTTTGGGCCGTGTGAAACGCACTTAAGAACATGTCCACATCAACATTTTTAATAATCTTTGCACTGTCCGCGATTTCGCTGCAACCGACCCAAGCAGTAACCCTATCGGAGGTCCTCGATATCATCAATGTGGCCAAGGACGTGGTTGTCAGCCTGGCAAAAGCCTGGGACATTGTCGATCAAAACATCGACTTCAATGAAGTGCCCATACCCATTTTGCATCGCACGGAGAACAAGCTTTTCAGCAAGATCGACCGCATTCACAATGAGCTGGAGGATTTGGCAACCAGGGTCGACGAAATAGGTAAGAAGTACTGTTAATAAAATATCAGTTTCAATTCATATTTATAAACAATCTCAGTAGTCGATATTTTGAGTATAATAAATACTGTTTATATTGGAACAACTATAGACGTTCGAAAATATAGAAAACCTGTCTTTCCATAGTTTCAAAGTCTCGCGTTTGGTTTATTTGAAATTGTAACATGCGGTTCATAACGACTCGAAATACCAAGTGTGTGGTACCAAATTATTAGTAAAAAAATGCTTTTTCTTAATAATATACTAATGAACCACCCGCGTTCCATTTGAAAAAATTGAGATATGATTAAAAATACGATTTGGGCATCTT